CTGTCTCCACACCCACCCCTGTGGCTCTGGCACGAATGTCGTCAAGCTCACCAGGCCTACGGAGCCCCCGCAGCCCCCAACACAGCACGAGCCTGTCTAAGAGCCGGGGCTGCAACCCCAGCCCTGCCTGGGACTCCCCCGGCACACCAGCTCTCCACCCTCAGGTTCAATTCAGTCCTTTCAGGATTGCTTGCTCCTCGCTCAGCATTTCATTCGTTGAGAAAGGCTGGCCTGGAAGCCAGTGGCACCCAACCCTCAGTATCAGAGAAAAGGCAAGGAGAGTAGTAATGTGGTTGGGTGAACTTTTACAAAGGAGCGAGAATGGTGTCCTCGTGCGAGGCTGCAGGGCGGAACACAGGGAGGGTAGAGCAACGTTTAAATGCTGTACTTTGAGATTTTAAGGAAAAAGGAAGAAAATGTGAAAACCCACTATGTAAATGAAGGGAAGTGCAAGATGGCCGCCCTGTGGCTGGGTTAACGTTTATGGGGTGCTACTCTGTCCAGAAACTGTTCTCACTGAGTTACAGATTCATTTCACCCTGCCCTGGGTAGGTGCTGCTATGATCCTGCTGGACCGGTCAGGCAACGGAGGCAGGAGAGGAAAGCACCTTCCCAAGGCCAGATGAGTAAGGGGGCCCCAGGAGGAACGAGGTGTGACCCTGGGCCATGTGATGAAAAGAGAGGGACAGGCATGTCCAGCCCCCACCCTTTGGCATTTCCCCTGGGTCCATCTGAGCTAATCTGGCCTGCACACCTGGGTACCACAGCCCAGAGAAGGGGCATCTTTAAGGGGGAGCTGTAAAGTGGGCCTGTGATGTTGCCCGTGACTCTTGGGTCTGAAGAGATATGTTAGCGCTCAAGCGCCGGCAGTCACTTTGATTCCTACGGCGGAGACTTTCCTCCCAAAATGTGAGTGTGCCCTCTGAGCAGCAATCAGACATCAGCAGAGATGCGTGAATGGCCACATTAACTCACTTTATTTTCAAGGCTGAGAACAGATGGGCTCTAATGGAGGGAGAGGAGTGGGGGGCAGCCCCTGCTGCAAACACACGTCCTTGAAGCTGTAGAAGCATGATGACCTTGAAGGTCAAGATCAAAACAAGGATGCCGGCATTCAATGCTTCTGGTCAATTATGTCAAAAAGTATAAAGATAGAAGAAGTAAATTAAACTGTCATTATTTAGAGGACACAATTATTTATCAGAAACTTGTGAAACTCTATAGAAAGTTTATTGGAATATGAGAATAAACACAAAAAATAAGGTGCCTACCGTGGAGCACATATGACAAAGGTATGGAGGATCCCCACGGGGACAGTTGTTAAAAGGCCTCGCTGACGGAAGAGCTAGAGGCTGCAGAGAGGGCCTGCGCCTGCAGCCGGGAAACTCAGTGCGGTCCCTGGGCCCACCTGCTCCGCCCTCGTTTACCCGGGCCCTAGACCAGAATGCACAGACCGGGTGGTTTAAACGACGGAGAACGGACTCCTTCACAGTTCTGGAGGCCTCCAGTCTGAGACCGGTGTCGGCACGATTGGTCCCTTCTGAGCTTTCTGCCCGTGGCTGGCAGGGGCCGTGTTCTCCCTGTGTCTTCATACAGTCGTGCGCGTCTGTGTTGTAACCTCCTCCGCTCTAAGGCCCCTACCACCTGGGACTGGGGCTCGCCCCCGTGACCTCATTTAACCTTAACTGCCTCTTTAAGACTCCTGTCTCCGAATGCACGTGTGTCCGAAGGTCCTGGATGTAAGTACTTCCATACATACATTTTGGGAGGACACTCTGCAGCCCATCACATTCCCTACATTAACCTGCAGGCTGAGGGCTGCCCCAGCCAAACTCCGGCCAGGCTCTCCTTAGACCTTGACCATCTGAATCCAAGTTCCCAGGAAAGAACAAAGGTCAAGTATAGGCAAAAAAAATTTGAAGAAAAGAATGAGGTGGTCGGGTATGCCTGATTGGCTGTTAAAACCCACTATAAAAGACAAGAAGGCAGAGCGTGTTGGTTCAGGGAAAAAGCAGGTGGATAAGGGAGCAGAGGAGACAGTCCCGAAGCAAACCCACCCATGTGCACGCGGTGGAAACCCAGTAAGTGAAGGGCGACATGCGCAGCGGAGGGGCGGACCTGGCCTGCCCCGCACATGGCATTGCTCTGTGGTTAGGCATCTACGTAGAAAAGTAAGACAAAACTGGGGGCTTTCTTCCTGCCCTGGAGAAAAATAAGTCCCACGTACCTTATAAACCTAAGTGTGTTAAAGCAAAATTTTAAAAACCTTCATAGGAAAATAACAGAGACTGTCTTTTTTGGCCTCCAGATAGGATAGTATTTCTTAAACAAGTCATAGAAAGAACAGATCACAAAGGGAAAAGCTGATCAATTTGACCAAGTTAGAATGTAAAACTTCTGCATATCAAAATATCAGGAAATTACAAGAGAAGCGCAGATCCAAAGAAGCGGTGAGTGCCGCCCCTCGTCTGGAGTATTACCCACCTCCCTCTAGTGGAAGCCTCGCGCAGGACGCTGTCCCCACACAGGACACGGAGGAAACGGCCGGGGAGCCGCTCGCTGGGGTCTCCACAAGTCTGCAGGACTCGTCTGCGTGATCGTTTTTGTGCTCCCTGGGCTTCTCGGGGTTTGTACGTGTGGCAGAATCCTTCTGAGACCTTCTGCTCGGCGGGACAGCGCCCAACCCACGGAGCCACACGGGTCAGGGCTAAGTCTGTGTCGCTTTCGGCCTCCACCTTCCTGGTAGTGTGGGACGCGGCGAGAGAAAAGCAGCACAATGCGGATAGAAACAACGCAAGCTGCAATGGGACACACACAACATACCTGGAACCATTTACCTGAAGCTAAAAGCAGGCAAAGAAGTTCTCTGCACTGTTCAGGCGTCTGTGGGACACATGTGATGAGTGTGTAAGGACACACCCACAAGGACCGTCCCCGTGACCACAAAGTGTTGCTCTCTCAGAAGGAGGGAGGGGATCAGAGACATACGCAGGGGTTTTAGTGGTTTGTGGAGTATTTTCTTTCCTAAGCCGGGTGGAGACTCGGGAGAGTTTAAAGTGCCGTTCTCTAAACCTTTCCGTATAGCTGAAACATTCCGTAACTCCCACGAGCCCCATCTCCAGCAGCAGCTCCACAGAGATGACACTGAGCTGTCCATGAACCTGGCCCACCTGGTGTTTCCCAACCTGTCCCTGACAAGGGGGGATGGCAGGAAGCAGAGCCCGTAAAGCCCCCCTCGGGTGGGTGTGGGACAGCAGAGGGGCAGCCGTCTGCAGGGGCCCCAGTGGGAGCCCTGACCCTCCATCGCCCAGGCAGCCACCGGAGACTCATCTCCCAGAGACCACAGTTGGCCTCAAAGAGGCGGCCTCAGCAGTTCCACACACGACCTTGTCATTACCCACGGCTTTACCCTTTGTGCAATGGATCCGTCACCACGCGCCAGCCTTGCTGCGGAACCCTACGCTTGTAGAAAACAGCAATTAAAAAAACAACCAAATCCACAGTACTGCTAGTTAGGCGGTTAGGCAGAACGAGAACGGCTGTAGATGACAGTAACAACAACGAAAACCCACAAAAGCCTGAACGGCCTGGCCTTCGGGAGGAACTTGGAGACGGGGGGCTGTGAGTCAGTTCGTAAAGAAAGTGATTGGGTTTCCTGTCATTTTTAAGCAGTTAGTCATCTTCGGGGAGGGACGGCGGGCTCTTTCTTCTCTCTGATGTGCAGTCATGAAGCCGGGCAGATGCTATGGCGCGTACCTAGGTAATACAGGGACCTCTGATTTCCAGGGTGACGGGGAGAAGAATTTCCCACAGCTGGCTGTCCAGAGGGAAAAAGCTCTCTTCTGATTTCTGTGGTTTGAAAACTCTCATCGCGGCTGATTTTTAAGTTGCCAGTGGAAGGTCACTGGGTGTTGAGCTGGGAAAAGACATGCACAGTCAGCTCTTGGAAACCCATACGTGCCGGCACCTGGAATTTCCTTCCTACCAGGGTGGCGAGCAGCCTTGGCTGGAGCCAGAGACAGGCTCAGCCACGGGGAGGGGACCACTGCCCCGGAGGTGGCTACTGTCACAGACGCCAGTGTCTACGGCCTCCCCTGGCTCTCTCTCAGTCCACAGATGTCGAGATTTTATTATTCCACTTAGAATGTAAAAGCACTTCCTTCATAGCCACACGTTTTTAGAGTAAGAATATATTAAACACCTTAACCAAAACTCTATTTTTTAAAAAAGATTTTATTTATTTATTTCCAGAGAGAAGGGAAGGGAGGGAAATATCAATGTGTGGTTGCCTCTCACACACCCCCTACTGGGGACCTGGCTCAAAACCCAGGCATGTGCTCTGACTGGGAATCAAACCGACAGCGCTTTGGTTCACAGGCTGGTGCTCAGTCCACTGAGCCACCCCAGCCAGAACATATTCCTTTTTTCAGAAAAGCAATAGAGATGAGTGGTCCTCCCTAAAAAAGCCAGGCCCATTGTCACCACCCTCGGGCCTGCAGGCCGTGTTCTGTGCTCTGCCTGTGCAGGCTCCTGCACCTCCACATCAGACGCCCACACCCCTGGGCACTGTGAGAGGTCTGAGCTCGGGATCTGCCCCGAAGGGAAGGTGACCCTGTGGGTACAGAGTGTAAATGATGTATGGCTGAGTGAGCGAGCCAGTGGGCATCCACCACATCTAGACGGTGGAGGTCTGTTTAGGTTTGGGTTCGCTTTCTTCAGCTTCAGCAGAATCTTAATAAAGGCACCAGGACAGACCTTCTGATCAGCTCGAACGGACCCAAAGCAGCTGAGACCAGGCGCAGGTCTCCAGACCAGACACAACCCATTTAGGCTCCCCCGGGTTCGGCAGGTGGGTCACTGGGTTATTTCTCAGGACAACTAAAATGGGAGCTGCCTGTAGTTGGATTACGTTTTCCTACTTTTTCTCAAATGGAAGAAGATGAGGTGACAACACGTTGGTTGAAACATCATTTGAACCAGCAACTTTGCTTTTTTTCCAGGTGCTTCTGGAATGGCTCATGCTCTGTGAACGAAATAATGGGTTGGAATTCGTTTCAAGTTAAATTATTCCCCCAGTCTGGGCATAGGCTCAGCATCACTTTTACACAGTTGCATTGTGACCCTCTCCAAGGTACAGTGACTTAAAACCAGTACTTCTTTGCTTATAATTCTGCGGGCTGGCAGTGTGGGCTGGACTGGGCCGGGACAGCTTGCACAGTGCTGGCCGGGCTCACTCCCGCGTCCAGGGCCTTAGCCGGCGGGGCCGGGCCTCCTTCTCCTTGCGCTCTTCCCTCTTCCAGGAGGCACTTGGGTTCCAAAAGGCAGAGACAGACGCTGCAAGGCCCCTGGGGGCCCCAGCTCAGAATCACATCTCTTAGCCACATGCCATTGGGCAAAGAAAAGCATAAGGGTATGGCCAGTTCAAGGAGTGGGGAAATCAACTGAGCCACAAAGAATCGGCGGCCATTGAAAATCTGCCCTGGGCTCCCAGTCTGGACCCAGCACAGTGACGTGGAAAGAGCAGAAAGCCGAGGGGACCGACCTCCCTGTCTCCGCACCCGGCTCGTCTCCGCGGAGGCCATTTTCCTCCTGGGCTTCCCTGTGCACCTCTCTTCGTGTTCTCCGTGGGACAGAAATAAACCACTTTATTCTAAGAAATTAACTGAGCGATGTCGGGTCCCTTGAAACAAAATGCCGACTCAAGAAATTTCTGAAGTAGGCAAAGTCGAGGGCTAGTGAATCCAGCAGCGTAGCACTGTCATGAAAACCCAAGATGCCTTCCATCTTTCTGCTCTGCCTCCGTGACAGGCTCTCTTTTCTTTAGCGAGCTCCCTTAACGGGGTTGAGAGTGTGCTAGGGTTCCAGGCATTACGTGAAGATGTGACAGTGTCTGTTTCTTCTTTGGGTCATTTATTTATTTTCTGAGTGAAGAGGCCTTTCCCTGAAGCCCTGCCAGCAGCCCCTTGCAGCATCCCACCGACCCCAAGGGCATCGCTCGTTTTTGTTTGAATCGAGGTCAGCGGGGCAGGGTTACCCTGGTTGGCTCGGATCAGTCAGAACCTGCCTCCTGGAACCGGAGATGGGCCCAGACTCACCTGAAGCCCACGTTCGGGAGGAGGCGAGTGGCTGTTTAAGGAAAACTGGGGTTCTCTTGGGAAAGAGGAAGGGGCGCGGACGAAACAGTGTGGCCGCCACGGTTAGGCCTGACATGTTTGGGGAATTGTCCTCGGACATCTTGAGGGATAAATCTGCCGTGACGGAACTTCAGGTGATATGTTGTGGACCTTGCAAGACCACAGGCAGAGAGTGGAAAAAGAAAACAACACCCCCTTCTCCAGAAGCCCATCCTGAATTAGGGAGCCGCTGGCCGGACACCTGACAAGCCAATCAGCTCCAAGGGTCTTGGGGGATGAGGGGCGGGCCTTGAGAGGGAATCTTGTAACTCAGGTGCCAGCTGAAGTCACCTTTCTTAGACTTACTTAAAATTGACACTGACCTTCTTCCTACAACCTTGGGGAATCCTACAGCCCTTGGGAAACCCAGAGCTCCCCGGTCCCCAGCCCGTTCCCAGCTCCGATGTCTGTGAATTCTGTCCTCGTTGGGCACAGGGGCGTGTGGCCATGGCACATCTGGTCCTGGCGCATCCTCTGAACACGGCCTCACAAGTCTCAACCTCGAGGCTGTCTCCTCGTCTTGGTGCAGCGCCGACCCAGGCGCATGACCCAAATCCTTCCCTTCCGTTTCCCTGCCCCCTTCAAACCAGGTGGAAACGGCACCTCTGGGGGGGGGGGGGACCTAATCTAAGGTTTGGGGACATGAGAGCAGATTGTATAGAGCAAAGCAGACACTTTGACACTGAGCAGACACCACCGTTGAAAGTAATTCAGCTGTTGAGGGATATCTCAGGGGCCCCACTTCTCCCCGAGTCCCAACCTTGGGGGCTTTGCCTCCCAGGAATCTTTGGAACGTTTTTCTGTTTCCATTGCCAGTTCCTATTCGTGCCAGTTCAGCTCTTGTTTCTTTGTTTGTTTGTGTCTTTGTTTCATTATAAGCCTGCCCTTAGGATCCCAAGGATTTCCCTAAACAAAGAGCGTTCCCTTCCTGACAGAAGCTCTGGGGCGGCTGCTGGAAAACTAGACACTGAGGACATTCTGCAAAAGAACTGACCTGCTTCCTTCAAAAACGTCTGGGATGTGAAAGACGAAGAAAAGCCTGAAGAACCGATCCATCCAGGGTCAAGGTGAGGCAAAAGCCAGGACAACTAGACGCAATGAGCTACTTTGAGTCAGATCCTGGATCAGTACAACTTATTTCTTTTTTTCTTTTGTGATAGGAGAGAGGTGATTGGTGGGATTTGAACCCAGTTCCTACACTGGGCGGTGCTGCTCGGTGAGTGTCACTGTCCTCATTCCGATCGCTCTGTCGAGGTTACGTAAGACTCGCCCTTGTTTGGGGGGATGTTACACTGACGGTTCTGGGGGGACTTTCCTGTTTAAAAGGTAGAAAGGAAAGGTGCAGGGAGAAGAGGTGTGGGGCCGGGGGACATTCTGACCGCCCCGGTTCACACCGCAGCGTGGCCTCTGTGTGTGGCCGGCCTCCGCTCGGGCAGATCGAAGGGCCGTTTGCGGTCGGGAGGAAGGAAGGGCAGAGAACTGTGAGCCCATCTAGACTGGGGTGCAGGTGCCGAGGACGGCTCTGCGGGGCACACAGGGATAAAGAGTGACACTGATAATCACGACAGTCACAGCGGCTTTGCTCACTGACTCCTCGTTGTGTCCCTGGGACAAGCAGAAATTCTTTACATGTATCCGCTCACTTAATCCGCAACGTAATTGTATTATTCGTCCTTAAGGATGAGTAAATTGCCCCGGCTGGTGTGGCTCAGTGGGTTGAGCACCAGCCTGTGAACCAAAGGGTTGCTGGTTCGATTCCCAGTCAGGGCACATGCCTGGGTTGTGGGCCAGGTCCCCAGTAGGAGGCGTGCGAGAAGCCACCACACAGTGACGTCTCTCCCTGTTTTTCTCCCTCCCTTCCCTTCTCTAAGAAATAAATGAAATCTTAAAAAAATAATAAAAGATATATAAACTGAGGCAGGAAGAGGTTGAGTCAAAGGTCATTTGCAAGTAGCAGACACAAGCTCAGATACAGGCAGTCTGGCCCCAAATGCACCCTCACACCGCTTCTGGGGCGACTCCTTGGTTGCCCCCCACCTCTGCTGCCCTCTTCCTTTCGCTCCACCAACACTGGCTGTGGACCTCAGCGAACTGGGGCCAGAGGGGCTCCCTCCATGTGCCCTCAGGCAGGCAGCCAAGGGGGGCACAAAGGCCTGTCCACCTGATGGCCACGAGGGGAAGGGGCGTGGAGGGGCACCCTGCACTTTGCTGGCGATGGGTGGGGGTCCGGGTGGGCTGAGGAACTGAAGGCGCTGGGTCTGCACTTCTTGCTCCCAACTGGCCCCGGACCCTGCCGCTCAGGACCCTGCAGCTCACCGCTGTGAGCTGAGGGGCAGAGAGGAGGGGCGGCCACCGGGGAGTCTGTCCCTGAGGGTCTCTGCTGATGCCTGTCTGGGCTGGAGGTCTCTTCCTAACCGGGAGGCAGTCCATCCCCGAGTACCCAAAACCAAGAAAAGGGAAAAACTTTAGAAATGCATCTTCAGACCCTGAGACCCAGCTCCCAGCCAGGAGACGTGCAAACTCTTCATTTAATAGCCTTATCCTGGAGCTTCTTATTACTTTTTAATTGAATTTATTGGGGTCACATTGGTTTGCAAAACCATACAGGCTTCCAGTGTGTGACTGAACAAAATATCATCTGCACAGTGCGTTGCACGCCTATCCCCTGAAACGAAGCCTCTTTCCCTCCCCACCCCCACCTTTGTCCCCTCCCCTCCCCCACCCCCCTTCCCTCTGGCTGTCGCCGCACTGTTGTCTGTGTCTATGTGATATATATCTCTATGTTTTTTTGCTTAAATGGAAACAGCACTTTCAGTGGCTAAGTATTTTCCATCCCGCTGTTAGAGTGAGCAGCTGAGCTGAGCGGCTGCCAGTGGGGGAACACCCAGGAGGACCCGGCCAGCTCCTCCCCCCGCCCGACAGGCATTTAAACCAGGGAGGGAAGCCGAGGACAGGAGAGACCCAGGGGCTGGGGACGACCAGCACCAGGGGCTGGGTGGCGGAAGAGTTGGACGGACGTGGTGCCCAGCAGCCTCCCAGGTAAGAGCGCTGGTCTCCGAAGGCTTTACCTGTGAGATGGGACAGTGGCCTGACGGGCATAAGGCTGACCGTGCAGGCGCGTACCTCACCTCCCGTCACCCCCCGAAGGAGTGAGGCCAGCTAGGAAATACCCCCCAGGAGCTGAGTGACGCGTCCTCAGCCAGCAGGTCCAGCAGGGACCAGGAGCAATGGTCTTCTTCCTGGCTCTGCGTCTGCGCTGTAGGGGGATCTCCACCTGGACGGCAGAGGGTTGCAGGAAGTGCTTCCCGTGAGTCTACCTGTGCTCCTCATCATTATGTCTTTGCTGGCTCCTTCCCAACGTCAAAGGTCTCTTTTCTGTAATGTATCTATGCGTCACTGTTCTAAAAGATATATATTTTAAAATACAGTTACGTATAGCATTATATCAGTGCCAGGGGTACAACATGGTGATTAGACATTCACGTACCAGATGGAGTGATCTCCCTGGGAAGTCCGGTGTGGTATGTCTTGGTTTTTTTTGTTACAGGTGCTCAGATTTATTCTGTTTGTATTTTTACAGAACTCATCAGAACTTTTTCCCCACCACCACTTACCCACCTTTATACCCCTCTTCTACCACCCCCCCAGCAATCCCCACACTCCAGTCCATGCCCCTGAGTTCTTTCTTTCTTTCTTTCTTTCTTTCTTTCTTTCTTTCTTTCTTTCTTTCTTTCTTTCTTTCTTTCTTTCTTTCTTTCTTTCTTTCTTTCTTTCTTTCTTTCTTTCTTTCTTTCTTTCTTTCTTTCTTTCTTTCTTTCTTTCTTTCTTTCTTTCTTTCTTTCTTTCTCTCTTTCTCTCTTTATGTCTTTCTTTTTCTTTCTTGTCCAATCCTTCCACCCAAGTCTCACTTAAAAAAAAATCCTAAAATAGAACCTTTGTTTGAGTCCTGATCAGGAAACTATTTCGACTTTCCCTGTCTCTGGCTTTTGTAAATACCAATTAGATGAGGTTTACAAGTGCACTGGATTAGCTATGAACTTCATTCAAACATTTAATTTTATTCTCCCTGTAAGATGACTGCTTTTCTCCAAATCCTCATGCTCTCACCCTCACATTGCCTCAAAGAAGACGTTTCGGAACTTTTCAGGACCTGATGTGGGGGCCTCGTTTTTGGAGGTCTTTTTAGTGTATCTGTTTATCTTTGCAGCTGGGACAGAGCTGGGGGAAGGAGGGGACAGAACCAGTGAGAGCCGTCACTGCGAAGCTCAAAGCTTGAGTTGCTCACGTTACTTAGCATTTGAGAAAGAACCCTTCCTAACACGAAAGTAGCAAACCACCCCCATCTGGACGCAGGCGACCCACAGTGCCTGAAGCCCCCCTGTTCTTGGAGACGCTGAAGCATCACCCAGGTACCCGGCCACCCCCACTGAGCCAGGACTATAGGCTGGTGGCTGGCAGAGCACAGGATGCGTGTGGCAAGAATCAGTGGTTTTCGGCGCTTGGGCGTTTTGGAACTCAGGGGCAAGCCAGGTGAGGGTGTTTGGAAAAGTGACTCCGGAAGGAGTGGGGAGAGGTGGTGTGAGCACCGAGGGGATGAGAACACCCACCTGCCGTCGTTTCCGACGGCACTTTCAAGCTTGGTCATCTCCTGGCGTACGTAAACCGGTTACTGCGATTCTGCCGCACACCCAGAAGCACAGTTTCTGTGGATCTGACCAAAGCAATAGGTGTAACGTTGATTCGGTCGCACGGAACAGCTATGGTTGTGTGGGCTGTTGTCATTTTTCGGTTCGACAGTCTCAGGGAAAGGGGGTCAGTGCCCCGACTCGGTGGTCAGAGCTGCCTGTTCTAACATTCTTGCGGCCCACCGGGTGGAAGCCCCTGTTTCACGACCCTTTAGTTCCTGCCGTGTCCCGAGTCTGTGGGCTGCAGCTGACTCCTTAGGGAGGGGAAAGAGGGCAGGATGACTTCAGACCAGTCGTGGCTCCTGGCTGCTGCTCCAGCCGGCTCTGTGGTTTGAGATGCAGGGGGGGACTGAGGCCTGTTCCTGAGAGGAGGCCCGAGGAAGCCCCACCCAGGCCCAGCAGAAACCCGTGTCCTTCCTGGTCTCGTCCCCGAGCCTTGGCTCCTGTGGGGTCTGGATGCAGACGAGGGATCGTGGTTTAGGTTCTACAGCTGCGTCTGCAGCCTGTGAGCTGGTGGTGCCGAGACCTCGGCAGATGCCCTGACAGGCAGGGCCTCTGCTGGGTTTTGCCACAGTAGACTCACGGCTCATGTCCCCCAGCCTGTGTCTACCAGCCACCACATCCGTGGGCACTGTTGGTCCCGAAGAGAGACCCGGAGAGGGTGGGGGCAGCAGTGCGGGGCCTTGGAAGTCAGCGAAGAAAAGCCCCGCCCCTTTGGCAGGAGGCTGGCACTGGAAGCTGTTTGCGTGTGTGACCCCTGCACACTCGGGCGAAGCCGAGTCTGTCATCGGGCGCCCCACCAGGGGCAGAAGGCCGGCTGTGTCTGAGGCCGTCTGTAGTCATTCTGGGGACTGGGTGTCTGGTCGAGTGTGGCTCAAGGTCCTTGAACTTACGCCTTCATGTCCATTCGACCCTGTCATTGTGCTTGAGCCGGTGTGTGCCCGGGAAAGCAAAAGGAAGGTGTTTTGTGAGGAAGGGTGTCACTCCGTGGGGTGAGCCAGCATCTCTGCCAGGTGTCTTCAGGGGGACTTCATAAAGTGCTTGGCGCAGAGGTGCCACCCTCGCCCTCACCCTGTGAGTCGTCGTGAGGTGGGGTAGGTTTCCGCTGGCAGCACCGACAGCCACAGCAGCCTGTGGCCACCGTGGCAAAGGGGCCAGTGCCGAGGCTGGGCCAGAGAGGCCGTCCCACCCTCGTCTTTTCGAGCAGACTTGGGGGGAGAGCTCTTCGGGAGAAGGGGCACGGCTCAGTGGGGTGTGAGTCACCTCCGGGTGTGCAGGGCGCACAATGGATGTCCTCCATGGGACCAGAGAGCGAGGGGCCAGGGGGACGCCCCGAATGTGACCGTGGTCATTGAGCCTCACCACATAAAACCGGCTTCTCATCCTCACCGCACCTGGCCGTCCCGTGTGCGGGATGGGACGCCCGTGCAGACTTCCGTGTCGCCGAGGCGGGGGATGAAAGTGTCCGTGTGTGTCCCGGGTCTGCCTGGATGCGGCCCGGCAGCAGCGGCAGCAGCCCGGGTGCTCACACGCGTGCATTCCTTCCGGGCTCGGGGACGCCCGTCCTGTCATCTGGGGACCGACCGGACGACTTTGAAGTGGCCGCACTGGAAACCCACGATAGTCCGGTTTCTCTGACCCCGAGTGGTGCTCTCCTGTGCTGTGATTAACTGCGCAGGCAGGACGAGGTAAGGAGGGGGCCAGAGAAAGCCCCGGGCTTCCGTGGAAAGAGCTGCCTTGGCAGCTAAGCAGCTGGTGGCCCCTCTCTGTGCTGTCAGCATTCACTCTAGTCCTGACCAGGGAGTGTGACCTCCTTTGGGGGAAATGAGGAGACACGGAGGCCGTTAGTCCTTGGATTGGAGAGGACAGTCCCAGACCCCGCGCCGGACTCAGGGTCCATCCTCCTCTTCTGGCCTCGCTTGGTCTATACCTGCTCCTGGGTTTCCTAGGAAGGGAGTCTCCTGCCTCTCGTGTGCGCGATGGGGTTCAGCTCCCCACGGGGGAGACACTCGTTTATCCCTGCAGGGGTCGTGCTCAGCACGGCTGGGAGGACGTGCAGGCATCGGGTTTAGTTATGGGGCAGTTGTCTGTGCCTGGGGCCTCCTTTATTTTCAGGGGAAGCCCCTCTCCCATGTGCAGTGGGAAACCGCGCAGATTACAGAGGATGGTGTTCATGAAGTGCTGGGCTCTCAGCACCTGATAAACGTGCTGGCCTCCAGCGGCTGTTAGCATTCAACGCACAGTGTTCATGTGGCCAGGACTGTGCCGTGAGGCAGGGGACACAGAGGGCACCCACATGGTCATGGCCACAGCCATCCCTGAGCTCACGGGCGGCTGGTCTGGGAACTCGCACACAGACGTGGGCGCTGTCAGTGCCCGCGCAGCAAACTCCTGGAAATTAAAGCCACCGGGGCAGACGTGGCCACCCAGGAAGAGTAAAAGAGCACAGATGTCCGTGTGTCTGTGACGTCAGTGTGTCTCTCAGACAAGACCAGACTCGCGGTCAGCGGCACACACCGCAAAGGGCCTTCCTGGAGAAAGCGGTCCTGGCCAGCGGGTGTCCGGAGTCTCGGTGCCTCTGTCCCAGCCTGTCCTCGCCGCCCCACTCCCCTCCTTCCCCTCCTGCAGCCAGAGCTGAGGAGGTGACCCTCGGGTGGAATGGCCCCTGGGGACCCCTGATGTCCTGTGGTCTCCTGCACGCACACCCCTGCAGCTGAACCCCCTTTGCCTCGAGCATCCTGCCAGCACGCGCCCCACCTCCTGCGAGAAGCATCCTAAACGGAGTAGACGTCGCCACCCGGAAACCCACCGCCCTGCGTTTTCCCTGGTGCGGCTGCGGCTGCCCCGCCCCAGCCTGGGGAGCCTGCCCTGCGGGTCAGAGTGGGTGAGGGCGTCCTTTCCTCCAGCAGCGACACAGGCCGGCGTCTCCTGCCAGGAGTCCCGGGGAGAGCCCACAAGCGCCTCCTCTCGCTCCGCACCCCCACAGAAGGGCCGGGCTGAGGGTTCCCCCTCTCACCCATCTTCTTTCGAGCAACAACTCTGCCCAGGAAAATCTGAGCTCAGCGTGTGGAACAGGCAGGGCTGTAATTAGCGAGGACATCTCATTACCCCTCGGGATGGGGACACCGGGGGCTCCTACAGGGGCTTCTGGGGCTTCTCATGTTCCGGGCTTCAGAAAACAAACACCCTGAGACTGGCCTGTGCGCAGCCTTGCGGTTTATGGCAGGAGCCTGTGGCCTTTCCTCACCGGTTTGGAACGTCTTCGGAAAGCCGTCTGCATGCCGCTTATGTCTGAGAGCAGCGAGCCTGGGCCAGGCCTGGAGGGCGGGGGGCAGGAGCGGGCAGAGAGTCTGCTGTTGATCCCTGCTGTCGCCGGGGCAGGGGGTCTGGGACCGTACCAGGAAGGCACTTGGAGATCGGCCTCTGTGATTCTGGGGGCGGCAGATGTGCACGGGGTTAACAGCCTGGTGAGGGGGCTCCGTGAGGGGCTCTGTGGCCTGGGGCCGAGTCTGCTGGCTGGCACCGACCTTGCATCATGGGGGGCACCGGCCTCACACCTCTGAGCTCAGTCCCGTCTTCGGGCAGGCGGGGAACCAGTGTGGGACAACTGTGTCTGTCACAGGGCTGAGGTTCGGAAGACAGCAACGGTGAAATGGCATTGTTTTCGGCCCGCACCGGCCTTGGGCCTGGCTCTGCCCACCTCCCTACCCTCTGACAGAGGCCTCACGCCGACTCCAGGGCCTTTCTGGTTTGGTATTGCAAGGCTGGTCTGTCCCAGTATCGGGCCTCAGGGGCCCATCTGGGCCACACGATTCTTTATACCCAGCTCAGGCCCGATGCTGGGATTGAAGATGAGCAGGAGGGCACAGGGGAGAGGGTGTCCCGTGCTTTCTTTTCTCCCCCCCCACCCCCGAACTCGCACACTGTGCCTCTGGCTCCCCGGCCTGCTGGCTGGGGCAGGGAGGTAGGGGCCAGAGGAGAAGGGAGAAGGCCCTTGTGTTTATCCGGGCAGCTGCAGCCCCTGGGGCTCTCCAGTGAGCCCGTTATGGCGGCTCCCGCCCGTCCCGCTGTGCTGTGTGTGGTTTTCTCAGACAGCCCTCCTGTGTGCTGCCCGCCGGCCCCGCCTCTTGTGGTCTGCCCACTGGGGCTGCACACTCCGGCTGAGCTGGGGGCGGCTCCCCCTGCAGCCCTCAGCTGCCTTTTTTCTGTGGCAGGACCGATGCGCATCCTTCAGGACGCTGGGGTGCCGGCCTTCACCGCGTGGCCTCCCTGCAGCGTCTGCTGTGCAGCCGTCTCCTGGCCAGCATCTCTGAATTCCCCCAGGGGAGGGGCTGGCACTGGCTGCTGCCCTCTGCCCCCTGCCCCGTTGCACCCCTGTCCCCCACCCCCCAGAAAAGCATCTTTTTAAAATGGGTGGGAACTTTTAAAAAATACTTTATTTATTTACTTTTAGAGAGGGGGAAGGGAGGGAGAAAAAGAGGAAGAGAAATATCAGTGTGTGGTTGTCTCTCATATACCCCCAACTGGGGACCTGGCCAGCAACCCAGGCATGTGCCCTGACTGGGAGTCGAACCAGTGACCTTTCAGTTCGCAGGCCAGTGCTCAATCCACTGAGCCACCGCAGCCAGGGCAGGCAAGCACTCCTGACCCACTGTCCACATCTCAACAGTCCCACTGACACTCTATTACGTCTGCATGGTGGCCAGTCCAGCTCCTGGGACGTAGTAAGTGCCCAGAAAAGGTGAGGCACCATCAGTATTATCATCAGCACTGCACACTTGGGACCGCAGCAGGAGCCGGGAAGCCGTGGGTGGGGAGGGGCTGTCTTTGGTGCTGTGCTGTCTCATTCCCAGTGGCGGCACCCCCCTTGGGTGCCCCCTTGGGTGCCGCATGCAGGACATGTGCCCAGGAGGTCATTCAAGGCAGGCAGCAGCACCCAGACAGCCCCACCCAGGACCAGACAGTCCTCCTTGTTCTCGTGGGAAAGCAGGCAAGTGCAGGGTGAGAGGCTCAGAGAAGGGCCTGCAGCAGTGGGAGCGGGAGAAGTCAGCACAGGCAGGAGGCGGGAGTGTGTCACGCATGAGGACGGGACAAAAGACAATGTAGCTCGGATCCCGGGACATGCAGGGTGAATTTCTCTGCTGCGGACTCTCAGAACCCCTTTCAAAGGCCTGTTTCCATTGCACATCTCCATGGCTGCCTTTGCATTTTTTCTGGACGCAGGCCTGCTCCTCGTCTCTCCAAGGATGGCCCACCAGGGCGTGTTCTGCTTCCCCTTGGGGCTCCTGTTCGGCTCTGTGCTCTTGGTGGTCTCAGCGCCGGCCACTCCCGAGCCTCAGGGCTGTGGTGACAAGGAGCATCAGGTGACCGTCAGCCACACCTACAAGATTGACGTGCCCAAGTCCGCGCTGGTGCAGGTGGAGGCTGACCCTCAGCCCCTCGGGGACGACGGTGCCTCGCTCCTGGCCCTGGGGGAGGCCGAGGAACAGAACATCATCTTCAGACACAACATCCGCCTGCAGACCCCGCAGAAGGACTGCGAGCTGGTGGGCGTCGTCCAGGGCCTCCTGGCCCGCGTGAAGAAGCTGGAGGAGGAGATGGCACAGGTGAAGGAGCAGTGTGACGTCCAGCGCTGCTGCCCAGGAGCTGCCGGTGAGCTGGCCACCTGCGTTGGTTCAGGACACACTTCTCGAGCGCCTGCTGCTCAGCCTGGTGCAGTGCCGCCCGTCACTCGGGTCTTCCCTGGGGGGCTCGTCACCCGCACCAGCTCCAGGGGGCCGTGCAGGCCTGAGCAGGGAGGGGCCATCCAGGAAGGAGCCTGGACTCCTGGGTCAGTGCCCCGGGACGGGAATGCTGTTTTACCGCTGGACCCAGTCTCTCCCTTGGGGGGGAGCAATGAAATCAATCGAGAGGAAAGAGCTAGGCAGGACCGGGGATAAGTCTCAGTTCTGTCTTGGTTTAGCTCTGTGACTTCAGGCAAATTCTCGAGTTCCCCGAACTGTCTAGTGAGGATAATTCTACCCACTGGTTTGGCTCTGAGACCTACAGATGATGTATTATCTAAGCTCCCTGGCCCATAGCACAGTCAGCAGATTATTTTTTAACTTTTTTTTCAGGGCCTTGAACAGGGTGGGGGGCCTCAGAGGGTGAGGGCAGCTTCGCCTCCCCTGTGGGGGCTTGTTCCCGACTGAGCTGAGTGACAGGAGGCTGCGCATCAAAATCTAGCTCAGAATAAAATTAAGGAGTTTGGGGGGTGCTGCTGGGAGGAAAGACCCCAGGCTTGGGGCTCCCCTCCCTTCGGGGTGGGAACTCCTCTTTGGCAGGGAGAGGGGCAGCTGCTTTGTCTGGGTCCCCAAACCCAAGGCGGAAGCAAGGTCTGCTGGGGCAGCAGGGGTCCGGGCCTCCTGAGGGGCTGAGACCCTTCCAGGCGGGGCAGGGAGAGCGGGAGAGGGTGGAAGGCAGCCCTTCCTTCACAAGTCGGGCCTCATAAAAGGGATCGGAGAGGGGGATGGGGGGAGGCACTGGTGGAAATTAAGTAAGTTGGTAAATTGTTTTTGTAGAATATCTAGCAAGCTGCCCACTGCTCAAGTCACTAAAATCTCTCCTTCCCGGGCAAGATTGCTTTGAAGAGAAGGTCGGCCATTGTTCTAACCGCACCCCCCCCACCCCCAGCAAGTTTGCGGGTAGAGCGGTGAGGCGGGCGGGGAGGGACGAGGTCCGGTGTGGGCCCCTCCTTCTGCACCCTGGACACACCACAAGGCCTGCTCTGACTGGGACTGACACCCCGGTCGAGACAGGCAGAAGTGGGCCGGATGGAGGGAGGCAAAGGCATTAGGGAGGGTGGGGGCAGGGGGTGAGGGGGTGCAGCTGCCGTTTCTGTCCCCCTGAACACCTGGGTCCCTGCCAGAGAAGAAAGAAAAGAGAACTTTTTCGATTACAGCTTCCACTCGACATTACTCTGTACCAGTTTCAGGTGCGCAGCACAGTTGTTAGACAATCACAAATGTACGAACTGACCCCCTGATATTCCCAGTACCCCCCCCCACCCTCATACACAGTGTCACAATGTTAGTGACTGTAGTTCCCGTGCCGTACTTGACATCCATCCCCACGACTGTTCTGTGACTGCCAACCTGTGCTTCTCAGTCCCTGCACTTTTTTTAAACATGAACTTCCCAGGCTCATCCAAATAATACCGAGTGGCCCTTCACACACGTGTCCATGCCCCCGTGTGCTGCACACAGAAATGAGTCGGCGTGGGACTGCCCTTGGGGAGTCCCCGGGGAGAAAGCGTTTTCAGGAAGGAAAGCAGGTGTTCTGGGAAATGGGGGTTACTGACTAGCCCACCCCTCCACGGCCTCTTGCTGTCTAGGCTCAGAAAGGGCAGGGGAACAAATCCCTTCTCCCCCCCACCCCCCTAACGGCTGGGCGGTTTTGTAGTGCCCTCCGCAGGTCCACTTTCCCAGGCTTCCATCTGGGCTCCTTTCCCGAGGACCTGGTCTGGCTCGGTCAGGCCCCCTTCGGCAGCCCAGCCTGGAGTCCACCCGCCGGCCCCAGGAGCCGGCCCCTGACTGAGTCCAGGCTCAGAGAATGAGCACGGTTTAGAGAGGACAGAACCGGGGCATTCCCATGAGTGCTTGGGACCGGGATGGAAAGGGAAGGGTGGCTCCTTTTTAGGCCGAAAAGGAGGGAACAGGTAGTAAATCTCACAGGTCAGAGTCTGGCCCAGGTTGGAGGGGGAGGACCCCCCACCATCCTCCAGAGGAAGCACCCCATGGGGCTTGTGCTTCAGGGGTCCCCGGGGAAGGGCTCCCTGCCCACCCCAGCTCTGCAGCTCACAGCCTTCTCTTTCCTGTCGCTGGCAGGTGTGAGCCGCCACTGCAGCGGCCACGGGACCTTCTCGCAGGAGACCTGCAGCTGCCGCTGCGATCAGGGCTGGGAGGGCCCCGACTGCGCGGAGCCAGCCTGTCCGGGCGCGTGCAGCGGCCACGGGCGCTGCGAGGACGGCCGCTGCCAGTGCGCGGCGCCCTACGTGGGGGCGGACTGCGCCTACCCGGCCTGCCCCGGGAACTGCAGCGGGCAGGGCGTGTGCGTGCAAGGCGTGTGCCAGTGCTACGAGGACTTCACGTCGGAGGACTGCAGCGAGCGGCGCTGCCCCGGCGACTGCAGCGGCCACGGCTTCTGCGACACCGGCGAGTGCTACTGTGAGGAGGGCTTCTCGGGCCTGGACTGCGCGCAGGGTGAGGGCCGAGCCCCGCCCCCGCCCAGGGCTCTCCCTTCCCCTGCACCCGCGACCTCCCCCAGGCACCACCTAATCTCAGTCACCCTCCTCCTCCGAGGGGCAGGCCAGCCCCCACCAGATGCCCTGGAGGGCTTATTAGAGCACAGCTGGCCGAGTCCACCCCCAGTGTCTGATTCAGCAGGTCTGGGGCGGGCCTGAGAATCTGCATTTTCAGCAAGTTCCCCGGGGGCCCTGTGGCTGTAGGCTCCAGGACCGTAGTCTTATGAGATCTAGTGGTTGTGTGTGTGTTAGTGTAGGGGGTCAGCATTAACTCCCAACCACACAACCTTTGGGGGGTCCAGAGGGTGCCTCACACAGCTGCTCCACACCCAGTCAGGTAGCATGAAGTACACAGTAGGTGCTCAGCGAGCCCTCATTGGCTGTGGGTTCCTCCCCCCACCCTCGCCCTCTCCTCCCCGTTCCCGTCCTGTGCAGTGGTCGCCCCCCAGAGCCTGCAGCTGCTCAAGAGCACGGAGGACTCGCTGCTGGTGGGCTGGCAGCCCTCCGCGGAGGCGGACCACTACCTGCTCAGCTACCACCCGCTGGGCGAGGAGCCCTCGGGGAAGCAGGTCCAGGTTCCCAAGGAGCAGCACAGCTACGACATCCTCGGTCTGCTGCCCGGGACCAAGTACATCATCACCCTGCGCAACGTGAAGGAAGACCTTCCCAGCAGCCCCCAGCACCTGCTGGCCACCACCGGTGAGGGGGCGCCAGGGCCCCCCTTCCCCAGGAGGGGCGCCATTTCGCGCGGTGTTTTCAGTGGTCCCCACAGGTGCCCTTCCACTAGCCAGGTGTTGTCCTGACCTGGGGCTGAAAAGAAGTCTCAGTTCTTGCTCCCTCACCACTTATTGAGTCCCCCAAGCCGGTGACGGAGCCTGCTGCATTGGAACCCCCCCCCCCCCCCGCCCGGGCTCTTCTGCCCTGAGAGTAGTGAGGTCCAACTGCCCCACACCCACACGTAAGCGGCCACATGCCTGAGTCCCTGAGTCCTCACTGAGCCTCTGAGGCCATGCTGCAGGTTCGGGTTGGGATGAGTGGGGGTCTTCTGAAGCCGCCTGTTGGACTGGTCTCAGCAGGAGAGAGGGAAGAAATAGGGCAGTTGGAGGAGGTGTAATGAAAAGGTCATTTGCAGAGGTGTGGGTGGGGCTTGCTGCTGTGATACTCTCGGACCAGCATCCCTGGGGCTCCACCCCCCTCCTCCCCACCGGGGCCAAACGGGAGGAGGTGGCCTCGGAGCTGAGACCCAGCGAGCAGCCCTGTGGGGCAGGGCCACCGATGAGCTGCTTTGGTAACAGGACACAGGCAGTCTGCTGCGTGCCCCCGGGCAGGGGGAGAAGGAGTTTAGTTACCCCAGTTCTGTCTCCTGCCATGTGACCTTCTGGTGACCCTCACTGGTGGAACCGAACCAGAAGCCAGAGGGCAAGGGGGGAGCCCGGCTAAGGCAGCTCCTAGAGGTCAGAGTCTGGGGTACAGAGCGGCTTGGGGGACGGGTCTGGAGGGACAGAGTCTCTGGGGCACCACCAAATGCTGCCAATGTGTTCGGAAGAACCAGCATCACTACTAACTCTTTAGAAATTCTCGTTTCCTTGTGGAAGCTCTTAAAGCTGCTTAGCTCTTCAAGGGCTCATTTCTTCACACAACATATTTTATTGAGCATCTGCTATGTGCCAGGCCCTGTTCTAGATGCCGATAAAAATGAGCTGCCTCCATTCCCCCCTGGAACTCCTGGGGGAAGATCCGGGGAGCCCCAGACAGACGGGCCTGCGGCACACAGGGTCCTCACAGAGACCCCCGCTGCCCATCCTGTTCGCTGGTAGGGTGGGGCTGGCTCGGGTCGGAGAGAGTGGTGAGGGGCGTGTGCTCTGGGAGCACAGTTTCTGGTGGCCTTTATCTGTGCCCTCCGGCCAAAGCCCCTCCGGAAACATCCCCGCAGTTGAACAAATTGCATTTATGGACCGTTTCGGCAGGAGGAGAAGGCACGCCAGGCAGGGGGGCAGGGGTGGGTGACTTGGGGACCGTGTGAGGGACCGACGCTTTGCACGCTGTCAGGAAGTAGGGGTGACTCCGTGATGGCATCTCGGTGACTCTTACCTAGAAAGGGGCAGCCTAGAGGGAGACGAAAGCTGTGATTGTGACACGAGAAGCAGTCACTTCCGAGAGTTAGGAGAGAGGTCGTCTGGTCTTTTTAGTGGTTCGGGCGATGTTCTTCCCGTGTTTGCCTGTGTACAGGCGTCATCACGAGTGGTCTTGTTTTGTCCCGACCTGTCATGGCCGCAGAGCAGCCTGTCTGGTGTTGCTGTCCTGCAGGTTGTTTACGTTCAGCGGGAGAACGCGAGTGAGAGGAGTGAGGCCGGAGCCTCGCCCTGGGGCCGCTGTCTTGTCTCCCCTTTCTGCCCCCTTTCTGTGGCAGCCTCTGCCCTGGGACAGGGGCCAGGCTCCTGTCTGTCTGTCTGTCTGGTCTGACTCACGGTGAACTCACCCTCACTCACTCCTCAGGGGGCTTCATCTCGGAGACACTGGTCCCCGTAATAACCTTGACCATTTTCCTGAAAGTCCTGTTTTTCCACGTATGAGCCCTGCAGGGCCGTCTTCGTTACTCGCTTCCAGACCTGTCCCCTCAAGGATGCCGTCCCTGCAGGGCGTACCTGTGGGCCAGGCGGGCTGTGGGAGCTGGGGTGGAGGGCATGGGGGGGGTGGGTGCTCTGAGAAAAGACTCCTCCAGGTCCTTTGTCCATGGCCGTGAACAGGGACTCATCAGAGCCGAGGGGCCTGGAGACCGCTGAGCTCCCTGCCCGATGCACAGCCCCCATCCCTGGTCCTCGGTGAGGGGTAGCCAGCCTGAGTGGGGCTGTGACTGAGAAAGGGAGCGAGGCTGAGCGGCTGGGGCCTTGTCCCCCAGGCAGGCCCACCAGCCGGGGCTCTGGCCGTGGGAATTCAAATGCTCCCAAGACCCCAGCCCCACAGCTTCACCGCCACCCAGAGTCCTTCCTTCAGGGCCACGTCAGCGAGCCATTACCTTTGTGTTGGTCATTAAATCTTCTCTGCGTGGAGGAGGGGGGCAAAGATTTAGCTTATGAAGAGCGTGTACAGTAACCCCACTTCACGGGACGTACAGGCCGGTTGGGCAGCCCAGGACGTCGGGTACCGCCAGAGGAGCAGGAAGGGTACTCAGAAGGACCGAGTCGAGCTCACCCAGTTTAGTGTTGCCTCGGTTAACCTCCACAGGAGCATCTGGGAGGCTGAGGAAGGAGCGGGTTGAGTGATCAGCGTTATACTCCAGCACCTGTGGAAATGCATTTTCCGAACTTGACATGAGGGGGCCTGAGCCCCTTTTCCTGGACTGAGTCTTGGAGGGCCGGGGCTGTGCACCCAGAGGGCGAGCGTTCATTTGGCTCAGAGCAGCCCGAGCCTGGGGCCGAGCGCCTGCGAGGGCCGTCCTGCGTGGTGTGGTCAGGAGGGCTGCATGGTCGAGGGGTTGGGATGGGCAGAGAAGGCCTTCCCGGGGCTGTGGACCACGTGCAAACCAGCAGTTGCCCGGGTGGTCTGAGACACCTGTGTCCGGGGTGGGGGCCTGCTCTCAGTGGGTCACGAAGGTGAGCTGACCTGGTGTCCAGCAGCCTGGTAGGGACCTGCCGGACCTTGGCTCCTCACCGCCTCCCCGTGACATCCCAATCCCTGCCCTAGATGTCTCTGTGCTGGGCACCGCTTGGGTGACAGACGAGACGGAGAACTCCCTGGACGTGGAGTGGGAGAACCCCCCGAGCGAGGTGGATTATTACAAGCTGCTGTACGGCCCCCTGACAGGGCAGGAGGTGGCTGAGGTCACCGTGCCCAAGAGCAGCAACCCCAAGAGCAGATATGACATCACCGGTAAGAGCCAACACTGGGGATGTGGATGCGGGGGGTAGGGGCAGCATGGGCCAGGGATCCACATTGACTGTGCCGGTGTGCACGGGGGTCCTGGGGCCTGGGGGCCAGAAACCTCCAGAAGTGAGCCCACTCTAGAAACCCGAGGTCTCTGCTCCCGCTTCCCAGGGTGACCCCAGAGTCTCAGGGCTGCCGGGTAACAGGGAGCATCCAACATGGGACACCCAGAGGTTATACAGTTTCAGGGCCCTCTTTCAGAAAAGCACTAAGGGAATCAGTCATTCATTCGGCATGTGGCCTCGGACGGGACCGTTCCTCCGTCTGCCCCCGGGTCCATCCGAGTGGCTGTCTGGGATCTGCACTACGGTGCAGTGAGGGCCAGTGTTCCCTCACACACACTGCTGTCTGCCCGCATTTTACCAGCAATCGTTCTACTGAGTTGATGCTACTGAGACATCTCAACAACAAAAGGCAAACAAAAGAAAAAATGAAAAATTTAGGTTAATTCTAATACTGAGAAGAAAAGAAACTTCTGAGGGAGAAGGATGGTGGGGAGCAGAAAATCATTCGGGCTGTGGAGACATTGGGAAACCAGTGCTCACCGGCCCCACAGAGGAAGCTCTGTGGGCTTCATCTCATCCACTCTGTGCCTCACCCCGCCCCCCACCAAAGGGTAAGCCCCTCCTCCATGCTCCATGCGGGGACTCCGCTGGGCCTGCAGCTCTTTACCTGCCTGGATAGATTCATTATTAGGGGGGGAAGCGCAGGGCCGCTCCCCGCCCCCCAACAGGAAATCCCGGGGAGTGCAGTCCCGGGGGCGAGGGGCCGGAAGGTGCACTCACACCCAGCGCCGGCCGCCTGTTCCCAGGTCTGCAGCCCGGGACGGAGTACAGGATCGTAGTCGTGCCCGTGAGGGGAGACCTGGAGGGCAAGCAGATCCTCCTGACCGGCAGGACAGGTAAGGGCTGCCTGGAGGCGCGGGGAGCGTCCCTCTCCTGTCTGGGCGCGACTCTGGGACTCGTGCGCAGAGAGATCCTGTCTCTGCGGACTGAGGTCTGTCTTGCGGGGCAGGGGACCGGAAGCGAACCTCCTATTCCAGTTTGTCTGTTTTTTCTTTTTGCCCACCGCCCCCCCTCCCCCGCCCCGGGATCTTGGAGTCAAGAGAAAAGGCCATTTCTGACACCTTTTCCTTACTCTAGTAGCTTCACTCACTGGGTTATTTTTGAGGCAATTACTACCATGAACCCTGGCATCTTACCTGAGACCTGCAGTTTCTTCCCTGCCGCTCCCGTGTCTGTCCCCAGCGTCACACTCCGAAGTCTGTTTAAAACGTCAGATGACGCTACGGAGCCTCACCGGGGTAGCGGTATATTTGCCTTCGGTGCACTGAGAAAACCTATAATGACAAGCGTTACAAATCAGTAACGTGTGACAATAAGTCTGTAATTTATTAATCAGATTATTAACAAACTAGATCTTGACGCACCGGTGACCTGGACCGACCAAATGGCTTCTCTGATTTTTCTTTCTTACGTGCTTGTTGAAGAAATTGATAGCCCGACCAATGTGGCCACAGAGCGAGTGACAGAAGACTCGGCGGTGGTGTCCTGGGAACCCGTCCGGGCCGTCATCGACAAGTACGTGGTGCGCTACACCTCCGCCGGCGGGGAGACAAGGGACCTGGTGGTGCCCGCGGAGGAGAGCAGCGCCGTCCTGACCGGCCTGAGGCCCGGGGAGGCGTACAAAGTCCACGTGTGGGCTGAGCGGGGCAGCCAGGAGAGCAAGAAGGCCGACACCACGGCCCTGACCGGTAAGGGCCGCAGCACAGGCGCGTCACGGGTGTCCTCGAGTTGGGAGCATGAGCCAGGAGGCCGCCGCCCACCTGGCCACAGCGCCTTTCTTCGTAAGGGTCAGGGGGGGAGTCACAAAGCAAATTTCATAGCGAGGAATTTTTTCATGTTTAAACTTCAGACGGAAGAGGCCACCAGCCTTTTTATTTGATCCAGAAGGTCACACTTATTTGGGTTGGAATTCCACACAGAGCTCCCGCCGAATAGAACAGCACTTCCTGACTTTCATTTTTTGGACGTGAAAACTCCAAACGCTTGGCCGACAGGGAGGCCGGACGCTCATCTCTCGGCGTGCAGCGCTGCACAGGCCTGTGGCATGTGGCCTGGAGCCCTTTCCTGCCGGGGACGTGGTTCGCGTCCTGAGTCATTGCTCACCCAATGAGCCCAGTCTGCTTCAAAGCTTTCATAAGGGTCCCCTCCCCGGATGTCACCCCTGGTTTCCCGCAGCTCCGGCAGGTGTCCTGAGATGCGCAAGCAGACCAGGACGTTCCCTCTGTGCGCACCGCCTCTGGCCCTGCCCAAGTTCAGGGCAGCTGGCCCAGGAGAACGGTCAAGGTTGCCAGCACCTGGTAGGCATCATAGAAAAGCCTCGCTGGTGGGACAGGCTCTGTTCTGACAGCCACGGGGTAGAGAATCTCTCGGAGACGCCGATAATTAGTTCGGAGAATGGGTTCTGAAGCTTGACCGTCCAGGTCTCATAGCTGAGCAGCTTCGGGCGAGTTTCTTCACGTCGCTTCCTCACATTCCTACCTGTAAACTGGGCATCTGAGTGTCTGCATCGTAGGGCTCTGTTCACTAACGCGCGTGACTGCTCCACAGTGATGGCCGTGTCCTTTCTCAGAACGTGTCCATCCGCCCAAAGCCAGGCTGCTGTAAGGTGACTCCATGGGTGGGGGCTCCCACTGTGGAAAGGCATTTCTCACAGTTCTGGAGGCTGGAGGGCCCCGTGATCTGAGGGCCGGCTGGTTCGGTTGCTGGGGGGGACCCTCCTCTCGGAGCACAGACGTCCGCCTTCTTCTCGTGCCCCATTGGAAAGAGGAAGCTCAGCGTTGGAGGAGGAGGAGGAGGAGGTTTCTGGAGCAGGAGAGGAAGATCACGCACCCTGTGTCTGGGACTTCCGACTCTCTGCGGGCTGACGTTTTGAGGAGAACGTGGTATTTCATGCCTCCGGTGACGTGTCATAATGAAGAGCCCACGTGTAAGCGTTTGCCGTGCAGACTCACTGACTGTTGGCCACGACCTGGGAGGGAGGCACCGAGCGCTCCCGCTTCGTGGAGATGAGCAGACGGAGGCTGAAGTCCTGCAGGCTGTTCGGAGCTAGCGATCCGCAGCGCTGGGCCCCGGTTCGGACGCAGGGCCACCACGCGGCACCTGACGGGTGCCGCAAGCAGGGCCACTCTCATCGGCCCAGACCTCAAACGCCACCAGCTAAAAAGCCCCTTGGTTTCGTGGCCGCAGACATAACGTTCTAAATGGAAAGAACTGGCAGCTTCTCTTCCCAGGATAATTTTCTTCCCAAAGAAAATGTGAGAGCACACGCAGAGATTTGTGGAAGTGTAACTGCTTTCAGGTTACGAGGGTTTGGAAACGTGAAGAGTGTTTCCCATAAATGCAGAGGAAAGGAGAAATTTACTTACAAAGACCAATTCATTTCATCCGAAGGCAACTTGTGGGGAGAGTCCACAAGGCTGAGACTACACGGTGGCTTTGTCTGCACACCCGACTGCTCGTGAAGCGCAGTTGTCTCCTTGGGACGTCTGACCCCTTGTCTACTTAAACCCCCGTTATCTCAATCATTGGCATATCACAGGCTGTGAAGTTTACCGAGGTCGTTATTTTGGCTGCGTGTACATTGGCCTTTCATGAGCTAGAGAGTTGGTAACCGCTACCCTCTTTCATTTCTCTTAAAGAGATTGACAGTCCCCAAAACCTTGTGACCCACCGAGTGACAGAGACCACAGCCTCCATCTCCTGGGACCCGGTGCAGGCCACCATCGACAGATACGTGGTGCGCTATACCTCCGCTGACGGAGACGCCCGGGAGGTGCCGGTGGGAAAGGAGCAGAGCAGCACGGAGCTGACGGGCCTGCGGCCGGGCGTGGAGTACTCGGTGCACGTGTGGGCCGAGCGGGGGGCCCGGGAGGGCCGGAAGGCCGACACCACGGCCGAGACAGGTAACAAGAGAAAGGTGGTCAATTGAAGTTGAATTTTCAGTGCGTGCATTGGAGTGTCCATGGTGCCAAGTGATGTGGCCTGAGCTGAGGGGCTTTGCAGAGCCCGTCTTAACGATCCAGCAGGCCAGCGGGCATAGTGGTTCTGTCCACGGGCTGCTCTGCCCTGGCCGTGCCGAGCTGCTCACGAAACCCTCAGCCCACCTGAATGGAGACGTGAAGTTGTGGTGTAGCCACGTTTTAGCAGGCTCTGTGGAGACGTGTAGGGGATGTGGACATTGCAGTGCTGGTGATAACACTTTTAGAATGGTCGCCCGTGACAAATGATAAATGAGGCTCCCCGAACGCCATGGCAGATACGTGATCGATTGTTTTGATGTGCCATGACATTGCTAAGGAGGCATCATTCCTTCTACCTTGTCAGGAGCTAGAAGCCAAGGGAGATGATCAAGTTTCTGACGAGTAGTCCTTTGAACTTGAGACCCAGGGGTGAATTTCTCCCCCCACTCCCACTCAGGGAGAGACCTGGGGTGGGACTACAGTTGCCCTGTGCGGAGCGACCCGGAGGATGAAGTCAGGGAGGTGGGCCGGTGGCTATCTCTTCTGCGGCTTCAAAGCTTAAACTTTTCTAAACGTTTTCTTGAAGAAGTCGATGGCCCCCAGAACCTGGTGACCGACCGGGTGACAGAGACCACGGCCTCCATCTCCTGGGACCCGGTGCAGGCCACCATCGACAGATACGTGGTGCGCTACACCTCCCCTGACGGAGACGCCCGGGAGGTGCCGGTGGGGAAGGAGCAGAGCGGCACGGAGCTGACGGGCCTGCGGCCGGGCGTGGAGTACTCGGTGCACGTGTGGGCCGAGCAGGGGGCCCGGGAGAGCCGGAAGGCCGACACCACGGCCCAGACAGGTAACGGAGCTTGTGTTGTCTGTCACCGCGAAGCTTGTGGTCTGTCCAGGGTGGGGGTCCTTCTCTGCCCTTGGCGGGAAGGGGGGCCCTGTGAAGGAGCCGATGTGCGTCCTGCCTTAGTCCACTGTGTGCCCTGCACTTCCCTCTAGTGGCTTCTCTACAGTGTGCAGCGCATGGCGGGGCCTCCAGGTCACTGCGCCCGGCCCGGCCCTCTGCCTGCGCACCTCCTTCGTTACTCACACGCTGCGTGCGTCCCCTCGAGGAGGGCTGGGCGCCAGGGGAGCACAGGGCCTGTCGTGCTGAGGGAGCCGGACTCCAGCCTGGGCTCCAAAGCCGTGTCCCCTCCTCACCTGTTTAAACCCTTGCTATGGGGATTGGCTTTGTTTTGGGATGGATGTTTTAGGTAAAACAAACAAACATGTTTTATTAGCTAAAAATAAGCAAATATCTAGTCACTTTTAGCCCCCAAATGTATCATTTTAGTGATTGAAGTGCCCACACCCCTGTAACAGTACCCCTCCCCCATTTAGAGCAGAGCCTCTCCCTGCACTGAAGGGAGGGGCGGCTCAGGGTCCCTTGATTTCCGGTCTGGCACTTCAGGGGCCCGCCTTCCCCCGTCCCCCTGAGGTTTCCGACCCCTGTATGTTTGGCACAGCTGGGAGTGGGGATGGTAGTGGTCTTCGGGGTCTTGCTTGACTGTAAGCCACACTGGCTTGGGCCTGTCCCGGGGACTAAAAAATGTAGAAGTTTTTCCTGCGTGGGACACTTCTGTGGGTTCTCCTGAGACACGTCACCTGTGTCCTCCCCAGGACAAACGCACCTGCCCTGCGCCCTCCCTCGGCCCTCGTGTGTGGGGTGCACCCCAGTGCATTTCCGGAGGGGTCTCCGCACCCCTCCTGGTGATCCTCTCGGACAGCTTCTCAAGCCCATGTGTGGTCCACGGGGACACGCAGGCATCCTCCGTCGAGTCAGTGGGATGCCCAGGTCTCCGCGATGATGCAGCCTGTCTCTGCATCAGGGCAACGGGCCAGTCTCTTGCCTCGTAGATATCTTAGGCACAGGTCGGACGCCTGCCCACGGGGTCCTCCGAGTCGGGTTTCTCAGCCAGGGCACTACCGAGGTGCTGGGCAGGAGCATTCTTTCTCGCCGGGTCTTCTGTGCACGGTAGGGCGTTAGCAGCATCCCTGGCTCTACCCATTGGAAGCCAGTAGCCGCCACATCCCACATGGGTGCCAAGCAGAAGTGTGTCCAGAAACTGCCAGCGGCCCCTGGTTGAGACCCCTGCTCCTGGGTGCAGTCAGTGGCCCTGGGACGGGGCCGCCGCCACTGCTCACTCACCCAAGGCTCTGGCCTCGCCTGGGCCTCCCAGTGAAGCTCTGGAGAAACCTTCTCTTCAAGTCACACCTCTTTGTTCTGTTCCCTGTCTCAGCCCGGAGGTGGCTGCTCAGCTCAGGGCCACAAAACTGTTGGGCCTGCCTTTGCTGTGGGCTCTCAGGTTGGAACACAGATACTAATTTTAGGGGGGTCACGGCCTAAACCAAGAGAAGCATAGCCCCCCCCCGACATGCCATGCGCACCTGTGACGGGCCTGGGGGCAAAGGCCCCCGGGGAAGGGCTTTTGCGGTGAACTACTTGGGACAAAGAAGTGCCTTCATGATGGTGGTGGTGGTGGTGGTGGTGATGATGGTGATGACCACTGGTCACGGCAGTTTTGAACTCCTCCTCTCTGCCTGGTGTGAAGGACCATAACCTCTTATTCACATTCATAAGACGTCAGTGAACTGATGTCAACAACAGCTTTGGTCACCGGACACCCAGGTCGTGCCAGGACCCGCCACCAGGGGGCGTGTCATCAATTCATACGATGCTCACGGCCACTCTGTGGGACATACTCTGCTACTCTGTCCCCCTCCACCCCCTGCCCCACGTTTTTTCTGTGAAGGAAACTGAGGCAGAAGGACTGGTCTGCCCTGGATCACACCCTGAGCCGTGGGGTGTGCGTTCTGTCGTTTGGGGGCAAAGGCTGTCTCACTTGGTCTTCAAGGCCCTTTTCCACACAACGGTTTTGGTCTTGGTTGTCAGTTACCCACGGAGTTATGTACGAGGACTGGTCACAGCCTCATTTTACAAATGCAGAGACGGGGCCTGCCCAAGGTCACAGAACAAGGTGGTAGTTAGATGCGTGTGTGGAGTACAGCATCCAAGGGGACTTCTTTGTCTGAGGCGACCAGGGAAGGCACCGAGGCAGCTGAGTTGTCCAGGGCCACAGCCCGTCACTCCTCTGACGGTGGCCCTGGTGCTCATTCTGCTGTCCACGCCGCCTTCTTGCGGATCCAAGAGCCCAGCTGTGGAGAGAAGGTCTGTACTTGTGACACAGCTGACAACTGGCATACAGGACAGGGACACCCTAGGGACGGGGAGCTGCCCCCTCATGCCACATGGCCACTCAATCCGTCAATAGTGTTCACTGATCATTTTCCTCTCAGACATTGATGGCCCCCAGAACCTGGTGACCCACCGGGTGACAGAGACCACGGCCTCCATCTCCTGGGACCCGGTGCAGGCCGCCATCGACAGATACGTGGTGCGCTACACCTCCGCTGACGGAGACGCCCGGGAGGTGCCGGTGGGGAAGGAGCAGAGCGGCACGGAGCTGACGGGCCTGCGGCCGGGCGTGGAGTACTCGGTGCACGTGTGGGCCGAGCGGGGGGCCCGGGAGGGCCGGAAGGCTGACACCACGGCCGAGACAGGTAACGGAGCATCGTTCTCGGGAGTGTGAGGCCTGCCACGCCGAGTGTGCGGCTGGTTCGTTTCTGTTTTCCTGCTTTGATGCAGGGAGAAGCCACGGTCTGTGCACGGGCAGGCGGCGCCCCTTCGTCACAGACTGTGCACGTCACCCCCCAATGTTAGCTGGTTTCATTACCGGCCAGGCCCTCGCAGGGGCCCCTGAGCGAGGACGTTGCGGTGGTGGTCTCGTTGAGCCCCACGAATGTTTGGTGGTGAACAGGGTCAAGGGTCTGCTATTGAACTTGTGAGGGGGAGAGAAAAGGAAGATCAGATGCTATTGATAATAATATGTTGAAAAATTTAACTTTAGAAAAGTAGTCTGTACCTGTGCCAGAGGGAGCAGACGTCCACGCTCTGCTCCGCGCTCTCTGAGTGGTGCGATGATTCTGGTTTGGGGAGTTAGGGCAGCTTCTGTGTCATGGTCTCATCCTGTCGGGAAGGAGGCGTATGGCCGCATTTCCGTGTGGCGACCGAGCCGGCAAAGGAGCACTACCAGTGCGTCCACGAGAGTATAGAGGACATGGGGACCGGGTTTGATGTCTGCGGTTCGCTGAACAGTGCGACCTGGGTGCTGGCCGTTGGCCCTGTCTGCTCCACCACAGCGAGGACCCCGAGGGTGACGGGCCTCTGCCCCCGGGGCGGGGGGTCACACCTGCTACGGGCTGTTGGGATCTTTGTGTACGAGATGGGAGGTCTTCACCTATGGGTGCTGGAGACAATATTATTAGGTGCTGTGAGCAAAGGCCAGGCCTTCCGGTGGGCCCAGCGCCCTGCCTTGCGCCCTGCCCTGTGCTTCGTGGGAGTCAGGCACACGCTTACTGAGTAAAGACATCTGTTGCGCTAAACTCTTGCTGGGGGTAATGGCGAGGGTTTGCGGATGTTGGTCCACTCTGCTTGCTCCTTGAGGAGCCAGAGTCTCCGTGGGGAGAGAAGACCTGAGTCCACGACAGAGCTAGAGCATTTGAGATGGAAAAAGCACAGAACACGAGCACCTTTTGCCCCAAGCAAATGGCCATGGGTTTCTGCTTTCCTTGGCCCATTCACGGTGCATATATTTTCTTCCAGACATTGACGGCCCCAGAAACCTGGTGACCCACCGGGTGACAGAGACCACGGCCTCCATCTCCTGGGACCCGGTGCAGGCCGCCATCGACAGATACGTGGTGCGCTACACCTCCCCTGACGGAGACGCCCGGGAGGTGCCGGTGGGGAAGGAGCAGAGCGGCACGGAGCTGACGGGCCTGCGGCCGGGCGTGGAGTACTCGGTGCACGTGTGGGCCGAGCGGGGGGCCCGGGAGAGCCGGAAGGCCGACACCACGGCCGAGACAGGTACTGCAAGGGACCCGGGACAGGGGACTCTTCACACAGGTCAGGTGTGGGGAGGGGGCGGGGAAGACCGTTGTTTCACCTGAGGACGTTCTTCAGAGGGGCGCCCTCCTCTTGCTCCGGGGTCAGGCATTGATGTGACCTTTCGGATTAATGAGAAAGAGAGCAGAGGACCTGCTGTCAGGCAAGGCTGCGTGACCCGTTGAGAAGGCGGTGCAGAAGGTCACCTCTCTGACCACCCCTGCCGTCCAGCTCCCATGCGGTGCCTTTAAGGGGCACATTTGAGATGGTGGCCACTTAATTTGGAGGTTCGGATTCACAGACAACAAAGACCCCAAGTCAAAGGTGAATAGTTAAGCACTTTATTAAGCGAGCACAAAGAGAAAAGCAAGAATTGAGAGCATACATCACCGGACAGGAAATGACCCACATCCACACACCCGGACGCCCGGAATCCCAGAGGCAGCAGCATTCAGGGTTCGTCTGGGAACCGTTCCGAGGGAAGCGTCCTGCCCTCCGTGGGATTCCAAAGTCCCACTTCGGGGACTGTGATTAAACACGTTTCAGACAAATGTGGCTACGCACAAAGGGCCTCCTGTGATTTTGACTCACTGACCATTCCCTCTGGGAGAAGGGCCGGCTCTCCCTGGCGACCGCACTGTTATTTTGCTTTTCCAGTGAGGGTCACCGCTCAGGCACAATCAGGGAGGATTCTCAAAGTCCCTTTAATACCACAGGTCCGCCGCAGCCTGGCAGACAGGGAGGCCAGTGCTCCATTGCCCTCCCCAGCCTGAGGCCACAGTGTGGCATCTCCTCCCCGCAGGGCCCCCCTCCAGGTGGTGAGCAAAGACCCTGCGTGCCTGATTGTAGGTACCGATGGGGCCTCTGGTCTCACTAAGGGTCAGCACGATCGGCCCGGGGGTCCTGAGAAAACCCAGTGCCCTGAGGTTCGAGGGCTTCCTAGCCCGTCTGGGTGAGAGCTGGCCGTCCCGTCTGTGGCCGGGGCAGCCCCCAGAGTTACATAAGACTTGAGTTTTTGAATTATTTTTATTAGTTACAATAGGCATTTTTAACCAAAAAAGTGATACATGCTTCTATAAAAATTTTCAGACAAGGGTATGTGGAAAGAAAACCCCTTTCCCCGGCCCAGGCTCCCTAAGGACAGGCCTGCTCTCCAGAGGTGGCCAGTGCCTCCTCCCTCCCTCCCCCTCCTTTGTCCCCTCCCTTCCTCCCCTGTCCCTTCCTCCCTCTCTTCCTTTCCTTCTCTTTCACTTTGCTCTTCCTTAAAGACAACGACATTATCATGTTTCTAGTCCACAGAAATGAGCAAGTAAGACAGACCTCCACAGTCGTTAACCTGGGACAGGCGGCCAGTCACAGAGGTGGCAGCAGCCAGCTCCTGGATATTTAAATCGTCCAGGTTTGGCTTTGATTTTGCAAGTGGAAATTCAGTTTTTCCGTGTGATGGATATACTAAAATCCAGACCAGATGTTCCACTTTAGACTGTCAAACCAAGCCGACATCACAGAAACTCAAAATTCATCAAAACGCCCTAACTCTAAACAACAGCTGCCTGACTTCTATTCAGCTACAGCAGTTCCGCTCTCAACTGAAGAGCTACTGGGTATAAAATAGCCTGGAGACACCTTTTTTGGCAACGTCGAAATTAAAGTCATATTCTATACTGACTTTTCAAAGTGGAAATTTCCATTCGTATCTTATTTGGTTGGAAAAAAATAGCCTCTGACCAATGACTATGTTGTTGACTACGAGTTTGCTGAGCTTCAGTTTTCTGGTCCACAGCCCCCCCCCCCCCCCCCGAGTCCCCGAGTCCCCACGTCCCTGCTGGAGTTTGCGAGGGAAAGCCATGGGGCCTGGGGGAGGGCTCTGCTTGTCTCCACCTCAGCTTGTCCTTTCCTTCCGCTTCATCTTTTCCCTCCCTCCCCCCTCCCCTCCCCTGCCCTTCCTTTCCCTCCTTCCTACTCGCTCTTTTATCCGTTACACAGACACCCCGTCCCTGCTTCTCTCTGCACAGAGCAGGTGTCTAAGGCCGCTCACTTAGATATGTAAGGAGAACAACTGCCTATTTCTGTGCCAACTTGATGTCCCTCATTAGCCCTGCTCTGCTTGTTGGACGTAAATCTCAGTGACTTTACGGTCACGCTCCTTCCCCCAGATTGGATGCAAAGCCTCGGTTGGGTTCCAGATATCAAGCCTGGGGGTCTGTCCAGCCCTTGGGCCATCTTTCCTGGCAGCTGTTAGCCTAGACGCCCTGGTGACCCACACTCCCTCATCTCCACACGGCTGGAGGAGCCCTGCTGTCCCCGAACCTGTCCCTAGCCCAGCTCACTCCTACGCCCCCCCACCTCTGGGAGTCTGCTGGGCAGGTGGGAGCCCAGGTTCACTGCATCGGGCGGGGGCGGGGGGAACTCCGCCCAAGCACCTGTCCCTTCGTCCTTGTCCTCAGTGGATCTGTGCTCGTGGCCGCAAAGGTCAGAAAGGGCAAGTGGCAGGGAGAACAGCGCCTGCCACCTGCCCGAAGGGCGGAAGAGAAATGGGAGGGCGTGTGGGCAGGAGCTGCAAGTCAACACTTCAGAAGTTACCCCGCCCCATCACCTTCGTAATAACCGTCACCCGGCTTTCCGCACACAGACATTGACCCTCCCAGAGATCTCCGTCCATCTGCCAGGACGCAGTCCGGCGGGGCACTGACCTGGACGGCTCCCTCTGCTCAGATCGACGGCTACATTCTGACCTACCAGCTCCCGGATGGCACCGCCAAGGTACTGGACTCTCCTGGCTCTTCTCCCGGTGCCCCTGCCTGTCCCCACATAGAACGACGGCCTCGAGTCAGCTCAAGTAATTGCTGGTCCCTCGGCAGCCTGCGGATAATGGAGCCTGTCCTCACCGCTCACCCACTGTGTGCAAGGGACCCTGCTAAACACAGCAGTCGCCCGTGACCGCACCGGGTCTTGTTTTACAGTCTTAGCCTGTGCCTGCTTCCGCTGACCACTGCATGGCCCACGTTACTCGTTTATTGTGCCCCATAAATCTTAGCTCCGTGGGGACAGGGACATCTCGTCTCTTTGGCCAAGTGCCTACCAGGTAGGCGCTCAATAAAGATGTATTGAATGAATTGATTAACTCTCATTTCAGAGATGACACCTTGCACCTGGGATCTGAAGGCCAGTAAATTTTCAAAATTAGTCCCAGTGGAAAATTATTATCTTTTCTCCTTGGGAAAAGAGAAAGGAGGAAGGAAGGGGAAAAGGAGAGACACGCTGATTTAGTCATTAGCTCAGCGACTGCCTGGGCCTGCCCTGCCTGCTGGAGGAAGGCGACTGGAAAACTAGCCCCCGCGCTCGATAGTGGGCTGGTTCCACTTCCCTCTTCACTTCTCAGCCTGGCGGGGAGGCCCCGGCGTGGGCCTGGGGGCAGAGGCCTGCGGGACCCGACGGTTCTCCCGGGGCTGCTGCCTCGCACTGGCTCCCAGCGCATGTTCCCAGCCCGCGTGCCTGGCGGTGCTGAACCTGGAGAAGCGGCTGGGACATGCTGGGGTCCCGGGCCACCTCTGAGCCCTCACAGGCAGACACAGTGCTGTCTGAGAGCTTCTGCTGTTGGCACCGGGGATGTTCCTGACACCCGGGTGCTAAGCATGAGAAACTGAACGTGTGCCTCCCATCTCCTTTGTTTGGTAGGAGGTGCGGCTTGGACCAGGGGACCTGAGGTTTGAGCTGCAAGGCCTTGAGCAGGGCGCCGCCTACCCTGTCTCCTTGGTCGCCTTTAAGGGTGATCGCCGGAGCAGGAGTGTGTCCACCACCCTGTCCACAGGTACCGTGGACCTGCACTGGGAAGGAGAATGTCGCGGGGGATGAGCCTTCGAGAGGCCAGGGGCCGTGCCCACGCAGGAGCGGGGAGCTGCCGAGCTGTGGATTTCTGCAGGAAGGGGAAATGGGAATGGGGTGTGGGTTCGGGAGAAATCCATCCGCTGGTGGAGAGACTGGAGAGGGAGTGGAAGGGGGGAGGGGTTGGGTTGGGGGAGGAAGTGATGTGAACTTGACCTTATTTCTAGTGCGTTTGGACAGTTCGATGGGAGCAGGGAGTGGGGGAAATAAGATGTGAGGGAAGAGCCAGAAGGTGCAAAGGAGCAGCAGGAGGTCATGAACTGTCCCTGAACAAAATACACTAACTTAAAACAGAGGACTAGTCCCGCCGCCCTTCTCCTAACACCTTGGCCCCTCTGCTTGGCTCCTAGTTGGTGCCCGGTTCCCACACCCCACGGACTGCAGTCAAGTTCAGCAGAACAGCAACATCGCCAGTGGCCTGTACACCATCTACCTGCACGGCGACGCCAGCCGGCCCCTGCAGGTGTACTGCGACATGGACACGGACGGCGGCGGCTGGACTGTGAGTCGGGGGCCCTGGGCAGCGGCCCCTTCTCAGCCCGGCAGCTCCAGCTCTCCTAGGAGAGGGGAGCCCTGGTGGCCCTCGGGACTCATGGGACCCAAAGCCCCTCACGCCCAAGACAGAGCAGACTAAGGCCGATGGCTGCAAGGCTCGGGGGCTGGTCCCCATCTCATAACGTCCTGTGTGCGTGTGTGCGCGTGTTACCCACTCTCCCTCTCCTCAAAGCACTCTCCTCGGCACACCCCGCACCAGGCAGGACCCCCACAGCAAACAACGGCCCACACGAAAGCTCCAGAGCAGGGATGTTGAACTCGTTCTCACCGGGGGCCACGTCAGCCTCGCGGTTGCCTTCCCAGGGCCGAGTGTAACTTCAGGACTTCGCAGACGTGACTGCTCCTTGACTGGGGCAGGAGCTCCACACTCGGCAGGGCCCCCCGGCAGCCCGTGGCACCGTGGTCCACACCTTTCCCTTTGCGGACTTTGTGACTCCGTGTTTTCCTGCTTCCTCCCGAGTCTCTGGCCGCTCCCTCTCTCCCCCACGCACGGTCCTTCTCCACGTGGTGGTTGCCAATCCGAGCTCCTCCCGGCTTCTCCGTCTGGTTCCTGTTTCCTTCCCAGCCGGCCTCGTCCTTTCCGGGGGTTCTATCTTCCTGAGCCTGTTACGATACAATGCGTTATGCAGCAGCGATAAACCAACACCAGCCTCCAACGATCTGAAACTTAAAGTGTGTTTTCTCCCACGTACCAAGTCTGTATTGGGTTTGGCGGCTGTTTCCAAGGGAACGACTCAGGGATGGAGCTGACTCCGGTGCCCTGTCAATATGCGGCCGTCCCGGAGGCCCAGCCCTCGTGGGGGTGGAAGAGGGAGCCAGGAGAACCCCCCACCCTGTGCTCCCACTTACAGTCCTTGGCTAGGACGAGGTCACACGACGCCAGCTGCCTGCAGGGGAGGCTGACTGACAGGAGGTCTTCCCGGACCCGGGCCCAGGGAGTGGAGCGGGGCCTCGCATCATCTCAGACGCGCTCTCCCCTTTCCAAGTCGGGCCCAGCTCGCTCTTTAGAGCCCTGGCCCTACATTCGCAGCTCCTGCGGCACCTTCATTCACCAGCGACTCCCACTCCCGGGCCCCCAGCAAGCAGGCGGGACCCACAAAGCCGTCTGCTCCCAGAGTCCCAGTCCCAGCGAAGGGCTGTCCAGCCTGTGCTAGACCCGAAGAACCGATCTTGACTCCCCCCGACCTCAGTTCCACTCCCGGTCCACCCCCGCACCTGTCCACGGTCCCTTCCTCTGTCCCCAGGGCAGCCCCCAGTCCCCGCTGCTGTCCCCCCTCGCTCGGTGGTGGCCTTGGGAGTGTGTCAGAGGGAAACGGCCACCCCCCTTTTCAGGTCTTCCAGAGGCGCAACACCGGGCAGCTGGACTTCTTCAAGCGCTGGCGGACCTACGTGGAAGGCTTTGGGGACCTCAGGAAGGAGTTCTGGCTTGGTGCGACCTTGGAGAATCTGGGATGGCTGCGGGTGGGGGTGGGTGGGTGGAGGGGGGACTTCCCCTGGGAAAGCTGGTCAGGCAGCTTGAGGACGCCCAGCACGTTCAGGGGCAGGTCCTGGGGCCGGGGACCCTCCGGGGGACCTGCCGGCCGGGGAGTGGGAAGGTTCCCGCTGTGCCCTGGTGACAGGGTGGGCGGTCCCAGGTGGCCTCCCTGCTGCTCCAAGCCCCACAGATTTGCCTGGAGCCTGAACCCTGGAAAACCGTGGGAGCAGACAGGGGTGGGTGGAGCAGGACTGTGGGCGTCTGTCAGGAGGGCACGCTGGTCGCCCGGACTTCCTGCCACTAACGCCAGTCCCGTGTGCGGGCTCTTTCTCTCCTCCCTCTGCTGCGTTCTTGAGCAGCGGTTCAGTGGGTCCCCCCTGCCCCGCCCCGGCCCCTGTGGGATGAGTTGACAATAACAAGAAGCCACTGAGGCCTGGGGGTTGACGCCGACGGAGCAGGGTCACCCCGGAAAGGCCCCCCACTCTGCCCTCCCAGAGGACGGGGCTTCCACACTCAGTAGGCTGATGGTGCGACCAAGTAGCGGGTGGAGAAAATGAGCCCCCAGAAAGAGAAAGTGGGGGGAGGCCCGCGGGAGCAGAGGAGGTGAAGGCTCAGGTGACGTTTGGCGAGTGGACGTCTTTGTTTCCAGGGCTGGACAAGCTGCACAACCTCACCACCGGCACCCCGACCCGGTACGAGGTGCGGGCGGACTTGCAGACCGCCAACGAGTCGGCCTACGCCGTCTACGACTCCTTCCAGGTGGCCTCCAGCAAGGAGCGGTACAAGCTCAGCGTCGGGAAATACAGGGGCACCGCAGGTGAGCGCCGCGGTCTCGGCGCCTGGGGCCTCGCGCTCCGCGTGTCCGAGCCCCCGGTTTGCGCGCGCCCTGGGCCTGGGGTGGGATCCTGCTCTGCAAAGGGGAGCCGGCCTCACTGATCGGCAGCCGAGGCCGTGCCCCCAGCAGGGGGTCTGGGGTAAACAAAGTCCTTAGAGCAATCCTGGACCCCCAGAAAACCGGAACCTTACACGCCGACCCTCCCCGTCGCACCCCAACCCGATCCGGGGCGCTGCGCCCTGGTGGGGCAGCCGCATTCTGAGTGGGCCACCCCCTGTGCCTGCCGCCCCCGCCGGGGCTCTGGGCGGGGGGGGGTGAGGCTGCCGCCCTCGCACAGCGCTGAGCACGCCCCCCAGCGGCGTTGTTTCCACAGAGACTAGAAACGAAAGGGCCGATTCCAACAGCAGGAAGTGAGGGTCCCACCCAGGTCACACGAGGTGACCATGCGGGAGCCAGCAGCAGGGCAGCGGTGGTCGGGGACCTCCCCCACCACCAGCGATGTGACCGGAATCCTGGGTGCAGCACCGACTGTTTTCTCGAAGTGGGTGGTTGTTATTTCAGTGTTACGTCGAAGCCTCCATCTGTGGCATTTAAATGGAGGTTTGTTGTTTGATTTTGCATGTTTGTTTTCACTTTTTTAAAGTTGTTGTTCTGTTACAGCTGTCCCAGTTTTCCCCTGTCGCTCTCCCCTGCCCCGCCCCCCAACTCCCACAGCGGGTCCCCACCCTGCTGTCCGCCATCGAGGGTCACTCATACGTGTTCGCTGGTTTCGTGTGTTTTTGACTTCGGTGTGACTGTGGAGAGGAATGGCTAGCGGCCAGATGGACTGACGGTGTAGGACACGGTCTCCCCACTTAGACTCACAGGGAAATAGATCAGTAACATTGGAAGGTAACGTTTGGGAAGAACAGTCAGCGGTCAGGAGACTAAGGAGCTTCGTGAGTGGGGGGAACTTCTGCAGGATGGGCTGGAGTCGGGTCTGAGAGGGTAGCGCTTAGATGGGAGGGAAGGAAGGGGCCCCCCAGGCGTGGGGGCGTCCAGGACTGACCGAGGCAGGGACGTCGGGTTTATCCTGGGGACCTGCGGCTTTCCCAGAACTGCCTGCTGAACCACCCCTGATGGTGGAGGTCTGTGCAGACACCATGATCGGAAGTGGCCAACTGTTAATGCCAAACTTCTTCCAGATTTTGGCACTTAACTTAAAAAAAAAAATCACATGAATTTTGCATTCATTCTTGTTCCCCAGGCCTTCGCGTGGGCCTGGAGCACAGGAGTTGAGTCTAAAACAGGAGGCTGCCAGTGAGCCCTTTCTGTACATACAGCCTAAGGGATGTGTTCTGTTGTGAAGAACAGTCCAGAGTCCCCAACAGCCCCATCCGGGTCGGGGGGGGGGGGCTGAGTCGGGTGACATGGTGACATGGGCGGGGACAAAGTGGGAGGGGTGGGTATCTGACAGGTCCCCCTGTGGCTCTGTTTCCTCGAGGGGCTGGGAGGCGCCGAACCCACCCGGAAGGTTTGCCCAGGGGCTCCGACCAGAGGGTGTCTGTGAGGGTGACCGGTGATCTCGGAGACCAGGTGTGGGCGTGGGCGTCCTTCTCATAAGAACAGAGCGGACTTGAGCTTGGGATCACCATGGGCCCCGACTGCCTTTCTTGGGCCGAATTAAAAAGTGAACTTCTAAAAGGATGACAGACACAATGGGGAAATGAGAAAGGCAGCTAAAATAATTGCAGGTTTCCAGACACGATGAGACTGAGCAGGGAAGGGCGTTGGGCGCCCAGAGGGCTCTAGGGTCCGGGTGTGAGCACTCGGAGGGAGGCTGTGCGGGAGGACCCAGGAGGGGACGCTTCCTCGGGGCGCTGGCTTCAAGGGCTGGGTAGGGTTTGGACCTCGGGGGAGCAGGGAGACACTGGTGGGCAGGGGCATAGAGGCTGCACCCGCCCTCTGCACCGGGGAAGGTGCCCGTGGGGACAGTGAGCCGTGAGATGGAGCACAGGGAGCAGCCAAGTCCCAGGTCTGCAAAGCAAAGAGGAGAAACTCGCCCCTTCCCCCCGCCCCGTGTGGCAGACAGTGGGGCGAGGCGCCTGAGATGATGGATATGTGGGAGCTTCAGGGGGGCCCAGAGGCTGCTGTGGGGATGCAGGCCCAAAGAGACGGGAGCCACCCAGCTGACAGTGGAGGGGGGCAGGGGAGGAAGGTGCAGAAGCGAGGGCTGGATAAAGGTGCGCAGCAGGTGTGTCGGACGTGGCTCACAGGTCTCCGGTCCCCGTGGCTGGGTGGGGTCGAGCAGAGACAGGGAGACAGGGAGGTCCCCTGGGGAGAGTCGATGCGTCTGCTCTGGGGACTTGGATCCTCCACGTGACTGTGCAGCTTCTAAGTGAAAACGCCACTAAGGTGACAGGAGAGACAGGCCTGGCGTGCGGGAGACAGGCCAGGAAAGAGAACCCGTCGTGTGGCCGCTCCGAGAGGCCCGACTCCCTGTGGCATCCTGGACCGGACCCCCGGCATTTCCCTGCCGAGTCCTCCACCCCTCGGGGGCACAGCGTGGCCTCTCACCTCTCACGCCTTCCCCCCTGCAGGGGACGCGCTTTCCTACCACAACGGGTGGAAGTTCACAACTTTCGACAGGGACAACGACATCGCCCTCAGCAACTGCGCCCTGACGCATCATGGCGGCTGGTGGTATAAGAACTGCCACCTGGCCAACCCCAACGGCAGATATGGGGAGACCAAGCACAGTGAGGTGGGTGACACGGGCGCCGCCCCCAAAGCAACACCCTCCAGGCTCGGGTGTCTGCCCTTCTGCTGCCCCTGCTCCGGGCGGAGCTTGTTTGCGGCCTCTGTGGCCTTGAGGTCAGGCACTTGCTGCCTGGCCGCTGCAGCCCCTCCCCACCCTGCATGCCCCCCAGTGCCGCACACCTCGAGCAGGCCTGGGGGAGAACAGAAACAGGGGCCCTGGGTCCCACACTTCACCCCACTTCACGGGGACACTGCGTGAGACAGCTCAGGCCGAGGTAACGAGCACCCTGCCCTGCAAGGCTTGAACGCCAGGTGCTGTTTCTCACTCTCCTGGGGGTTGGAAGTCCAGCATCGAGGTGTGGGTAGGTTCGAGTTTCCTGCCAAGGACCCTCCGTCCTTGTCCTCACATATTGCAGAGATTGAGAGAGCGAGTGTGCTCTCTGCTGTGGCCCCCTCTTCTTATGAGGGCACCATTCTCATCACGGGGACCCCCTCTCCTGACCTCAGCTGGTCCTAGTCCCTCCCAGAGGCCTTGCCTCCTGAACACCGTCGCAGCGGGAGCTAGGGCTTTAACACCGCGTTTGGGATCCGTGTGGGCGACACCTGCAGTCTGCCCAGGGCTGGTGCCAGTCCCTGTCGTGGGCTCCTCCCCGCACCTCGCTCCCGAAACTGTCCTGCCAGCAACTTCTCGAATGTCTGTGCTGTGGGCACTTCATCCTTACTCCTGACCGGCTACGGGGCGTCTCCCGCCCACCTCCTCCCAGCTTCCTGAAAGCTGCGTCTTTGCTCCTGCTCCTCATCAAGCCAGCCCCTCCCTGGACGCATCCCCACCCCGGGTTTCCGATCTCCCCTCCTGGGCCCTGATCCTAGCCTCCAGGAGGCCCCCCACCCGCCCCAGGACTCACCTCACAACAGCATCACTGTGAACCCTAGCGCACCTGAAGACCGGGCACACTTTGATTACTTCGGCCTTGACCTCCTAACCCTGGAGTGATTCTTTAAAGGGAAGAAACGTGCCCCCCGGGAACCGAGGAGGGTGGGCTCCTCCCAGGGATCAGATATTTGAAAGAGCAGCCAGCAGGCGCTCAACCAGCCGAGTTTGCTAATAAAAGGCATTCATCTGGTTAATGTGCTTTTCACAGTCTGCAAGGCATTTAGTTTCTTGTTTATTATTTACCTCACAAATTAAAATACATAAAATTGGTCACTTGGGCTCTTTATTGGCCAGGTTGCAAGGTTATTAAGTGAATTAAATATTGCGCTCACCAGTCAAAAGACATAAAATGAAATTTAGTTTCTAGCAGGTTGTTTGTTACCCCAGAGCTAATATCTAAACAGTCTAAATTGAAAATGATTTCCCACAGTTGGCCAATTAATATGTTTATTTTTGCCTTTAAATATTTGGAAAGGAAAGAGGGAAGCAAAGACAATGTGACCGGTGCTGGCCAGGTGGACCCTGTGCTTTCTGAGCCTCTGTGGCCTCCCCTGGCCTTGCCCACCTCCGGGGCCCAACACCCCCATTTCCAATCCCAGGGGGGCTTCCGAGCCTGTCTCACCCCAGCTGCCCAGCAGAGGGCGCATGTTCCTAGATTTCACCCCATTTCCCTTATGGTGAGCACCCCAGGCACCACTTGGCTCTATCTTCCCTTAGCAGCGAGGGCCTGCTTTCCCAGACCCGGCCCTCCTCCTAGGGGCCTCTTCTTGATGTTGACTTTTTTTTTTAAATGTAGGGCGTGAACTGGGAGCCGTGGAAAGGACACGAATTCTCCATTCCTTACGTGGAGCTGAAAATCCGCCCCCACGGCTACAGCGGGGAGCACGTCCTGGGCCGGAAGAAGCGGGCACTGGGAGAAAGTTCGAGAACGTTCTGGTGACCCATTTGCACATTCATCGCACGAGGCAAGACCAGCCCGGGGGTGGGGCGGGTGCGTCGTGGGGACCGGTGAACAGAAATTGGGGGGAAGGTCAGAGTCTCTAGTCCCTGAGATGGCTGGGTCGCCAGCAGGACAAAGCGTGTCGCCCAGGCTCAAACCACAGAGGGCGCTTCCTTGTCCCCTGCGTCTGGCCCATCTCTGTTGGGGCCCAAGGACCCGGGTAGTAGCTGTGCGGTGCGTGTGGGAAAGATGGCCTGTGAACTGCAAGTTTTTCTGTCTGTCTTCAGCAGCCAGTAGAAATAGAGTCTAGTGCTTTACCTGTTGGAAAACTCTGCAGATCGGTATATATATTTGATACATACATATATAGAGAGAGAAAGCTCGGCTAATACAAATCTCTCTAGAAAGAAGCCCCCCAGAGGTGTTCTCTCTGACGTGGCCCGGAGCCTGTGACCCCCAGCCCATTGCCCCAGGTCCTGAGGGAAACGGGGTAAATCTTCCCCTGTAGCTAAGCTCTGCCGAGTCCCCAGCCTGCTGGAAACCACAGCCCCCTGTTCCTGCTATTTTTAAGTGTCCTCTTTCCAGCTATTTGCATAATCACTTCCAGAGATCTGCATATGTTGTGAATAAATTCTCACTCATTTCGACTTTAAATAATTTGACTGTCTTGCTAATTGGTTCCTCCCAAAGGCTCTTTGCTGCGACCCCCTTGGAGGGCCAGCCTCCCTCCCTTCCCTGTCCCCCCACTCAGTCGTTCCCCCCCAACCCCAGGTTTTTCTGAACACGTTTTCAGCCTCGGAGGCTCGCTGTTCGAATGGGCACCAGGTCAGATCCTTCTGGCGTATGTCCCCATCACTTCGGAAGGTTTCTCTGTAGGGAAGTCGGCGACCATTGAAGTTACTCGAATTCCTATTCCAGAAGAAAGTACTAATAAACCACTTGATTAAAAATAATTACCTTGTGTTGTTTTCCCCACATAAGTGCACTTGAGTTCTAAATTTAACCTAATTGCCAGTGAGGGTGCAGTCTGTGCATTATAACGGAATATGGCTGGCTGCGGCTTCTCAAGTGCGTGATGGCAAATGGTGGTATTTGGATGCAGGGGTTGAGCGGGAAGGAGGACAAAGGTCCCCTAGCAGCTGCAGTCTCCTTCCAGGACCCCGGTGTCATTTATTGCCTCGGTGTCTCTCGGCTCTAACCGCTGGCTGAATACCAAGCTCTGCTTCTTAAAGTTTTTTAAAAATCAACTTTCAACATTTTTATTCTGCGCTCGCCCCCGCCCCCCCAACACACTGAGCAACACAGTAGTTGCTGCTGGAGCGCACGGTGGGTGGTCTGAGCCACGCCCAGTTCCAGTGCTGGGCTGATGGATAAAAAGTACACTGCGCCTTGTTCGTGGGCCCCACGAGAATCCGTGTCTGCCTGCTTCTTACCAGCCAGTGTGCTTGGCACTGGGCGGGCAAGCTGGACAGGGTCCTGGCACTGAAGGAGCATGTGCACTGTCCTTCATTTGCTCATTCGTTCCTCCCTTCCTTCTTTCTACAAGTAAATGAAACACAACATTCCTGCCCCGGGGCTCACCTTCTGCCGGTGAAGCCTGACCCCAAACCACGACCCCCAAACCACGCAAAAACGCACAATTTTCGGCAGTCCTGTGGGCCCTGGAGGCAGAGGTCCGCGCAGGAGGTGGGGCCTGCGCAGGGGTGGGGCCTGCGCAGGGGTGGGGCCTGCGCAGGGGGTGGGGCCTGCGCAGGGGGTGGGGCCTGCGCAGGGGGTGGGGCCTGAGCAGGGGGTGGGGCCTGAGCAGGGGGTGGGGCCTGCGCAGGGGGTGGGCCTGTGAAGGCCTGGTGGGGCGGGGGCACCTGTGCAGAGACCTGCAGTAGTTCCTGAGTCTGATCCAGCTCTGGCAGGACCCGAGCTTGAGCTCATTCCCTTGCCGTCTCAAAGATCCTTCAGTGCAGCCGTCCAGTCCCGAGTTCTCGAATTCTCTCATCCCATCTGCACGTAGGGTCCACAGCTTGGTGGCCCAGGAGCTTTTTGCTCACCCCGTTGGGTGCAGGCTTTGTAGAAAAGAAGGGGGTTCTCTGCAAAGTGGATCAGACCAGGCAGTGACCCAGGGCCAGGGGTGTGCATCGTGGACTCGCTTGTCCACCGGGCTTGGGAATGCCGGGTCACTGACCCTGCATTGTCCCCGGACGCTCTGACTCTGTAGGTCTGGGCTGGGGACCCCTCCGAGTAGCTCTGGCACAGCAGTCACCCACCGGTGGTCTTTCAGCTCTGGACGCGTGGGCATGGGCAGTAGTCCCAGCCCCCACACCCCATGTTCTCTGACCCTGGTCTTTGTCCCCCACCAGCCCAAACAAGGACTGGGGAAAACTGGTTGTGTCTTGCTGTCTTTTGCTTGTAGGACCCATGGTGCCCAGAAGGCTCAGGGTGGAGGAAACCTTAGCGGACCCTTCAAAGTTTGTATCAGAGGCAGAGCAGGAAGTGGGGGCGGGAGGGGAGCTCATTTTCAAAAGATGTTTATCCGACAGGGAACATGCCAGCCCTGAGGCCGCCTGCCTAACCTCATTTAACTGCGACCAGCTCTCCTCTGGTGGCTGAAACAGGCCTCAGGAAGGGGTTTCCCCATCACCCTGCTCTTCAGAGGGTCACACAGTTTTTTCAGAGTCAGGTTAGAAGCCACTGGGGACAAACCAAAGAAAACAACAGCTGTCAGAGAAGGAATAAGCTGCCAGCCAGGCACCGGGGTAGAAGCGAGGACTCAAGTGTCACAAGCATTCAGTAAAGTCATGCAAGATGCTACAAAGCAGTGAGACCCAGCCCCTGCCCACAGTGTGGTGGGGCCTGCCCTGGGGACACACCAGGACAGTGGGCAGTGGGACGGGTTCTCGGGTCTCACTCCCAGTCAGAATCAACAGCAGCTGCTGTGTTTGCAGGTCCTGCCCCACCTCTGGGGCCTCTGCTTTAACGAGCCTCAGCTGCGCCCTGTTCGCCCGCCCGAGCTTTTTAAAGTTTCCGGGGAGGCAGAGGGCAGAGGCCTGCAGACAGGGCGAGGGCCGTGCAATAGGCCTCGTGTACGGCTGCCTTGGTCTGAGCCAGAAACAGTGCGGAAGGGGAAGAAGCTCAGATTAAAGAAGGATTTAGGAGGAAGACTCAGCAGGGTTGGAGGGGCCCTCCTATGACAGGTGAGAGCCAGCTCTCTGCAGGTGCTTCTGCTTGTCGACCGCGACAAGAGCTCTGCTTGTGAACTGAGGATTCTCGGGGACTCCGGGATCGTTGAAGCCAGAAGATGCTGAAGGGGCCAGGGAGCACGAACAAGGGGCTGCCGGCGTGAGGAGGGACCAGGTGCTGTGCTGGAAGGGACAGATGCAAATGGCCGTGCAGCGCGCGGCTGAGGAAAATCAAATAAAAGTGGTGAAAATCTCTGGGTGAAACTCAATCATCTGCTGGACGAAGTCCTGTGGGAAAATAACTCCCAGGTCATTCCTTTAAGCCGCTGGCCAGGAGTCAGGAAGGAGTTTCTGTGGATGAAGAGCGAGGATGGACAGGGTCGTGCCCCGGCCCTGGCAGGAGGCACGCTGTACCCAGCCAGGCCAGGAGATGGCAGCATCGCCCCGCTCTACCGCCACTTCCTCTCCCCCCATAAAGGTGAGTCCTGGGAGTTCCCACTCTTCTTCCTTCCTGGATAATATGGCTTTGAGAGTCAGTCAGCCTGTGGGGCAGCCAGCCTGTGCTTGGTCAATGCCCAAAACAGATCACTGGGAAGTACCTCTAAGTGACGGCCTCGTGAGCCTGGACTCAGTCCCCGACCCGAGTTCACCTGGGTGGTGAGTCAGGTGGGATGGGGGCCCTTGGCTTGATGGGAGGAAAGGGGGCACCTCCGGCAGGGAATCTGGGCAGTTCATGACATGCAAAGAAATCCACGCCCCGGGTCCTCCCGGTAGCCGGGCTCCCCAACGGGGGAAAGAGGAGAAAGAGGTGGTTTTGATTCCGATGTTAAATGAAGCAGTTAGGCGCCCAGGTTCGCCCACAGAAGCCCGTTCATCCTATAACACAGCCGAATTGCGGTGCACTAGCAGCTGAGGGAGGAACTAGGAAAGGGTGGTTTTGCAGTGTTGTGAGTTAAAAGGAAACAAAACGGAATTAAAATAGTTCTTCGTTTTGGTAAGTGAAGGCAATGAGCTTTGATGGGAGGAGGCAGAGGAGGCCACGGGACACCTGAAGGAGCCACCTGGGCAGAGCCCTCTGCTGTCTCCCACGTGATCTGACTCGGGAGGAGCCCGTGCAGGCACGTGGTCCGGATGGCGATGCCTCGTGCCCCGCGGGGTTGCTGGGAGAGGCGTCTCGGGCTGTGTTCCGTGCCGCGCCCGGGGAGCTGCTTCTCCTCTGGGCCTGGTTTTCTTCACTGATAAACGGGAGTGGCACCCACCCGCTCCGTGGGTCGCTGCAGGAGTCCGACGAGGACCCTGACAGCGCTCTTGCGGCACCGACAGCTGTCAGGAACCGGGAGGCGGAGTGCCTGGATCTCCGGTCTCCAGAACTTCATTGAACACTTTCAGATTTTCTTCCGCCGGACAGAGGGGTGCTGCTAGCCAGCTCTAAGGTCTGTGCGCCCTGAATACCCACGAGTGGAATTATTAGGGGTTGCTAGTGGAAGGAAGAGAAAGGGCGGAGTGAGAAACAGAGCTAATCACAGTACGGGAGGTCGGAACCAGTTTCCCTGGCGGGGGGGTGGGGTGGGAACTGGGCTGTCAGCAGAGGTGACACATGGGGGAATACTGGAACCCTCCTGGGCGGCAGTTCCCAAACGGTGTTCCCCGGAGCCCGTGCTCCTCCAGGTGTGCTAAGAAAAGAGGTTTGATGGTCCAAGAAGCTTGGGAAATCTGAGTTCAGCAGCGTCGCACCTGTTTGTAATAGTACCTGTTAGAAGTGAAGGTGATCCGTGTGCATTGCGGATCTCAGGAAGGAGAGGGCCATGAAGTGTATTGCCAATGTATCTGACCTCAGAATTTGTTTTCTGAGAATCTAGTGACATTGTTTTCTGAGAATCTAGTGACAGTTTCTCCCAAGTGTGATTCAGAGCCCACCGCCATTTACCTAGAGCACCTGTCCCAACAGCAGACAGACGTCCAGCCATGCCTGACGTCTGGCAGGAGGGTGAGCGGGTCTGGGGCCTGTGCCTGGGAGGAACAGCTAGGACTCTTCCCCCAGTTTGTTTAGTGTGTAATGCGCATGCGCCGGGCCAGGGGCCAGAGGTGCACCGGTGACTAAGTCAGTTCCACCGGGCTGCAGAAAGGCCGGTCCTGATGCGTGCGGGGATGGGGGTGGCACGCTGGGAGCAGAGACACACTCAGCTGCTGCACCGTCTGACCTCCGGGAGGGGCGTGTCCTGTGTGGTTCAGGCAGCTTCCCTGTGCCAATGGCACACCTCGTGGACATGTATTTCAACAGCAGCCCAGACTCGGAATGATAGAAACCCTCCTCCGTCCAGTCTCTGTGCAGACCGGTGTGCGAGCACCACGTGAGATCCAGGCAGACTTCTGCACATTCGGTCTGAGGCCCCGGGACTTCAGAAAAGATGCTGACGCCGACGCTCGCCTGACCTGGCCACCGGGGGGCACTGTCGCCACAGGACAGTGGTGGTGGTGGGCCCGGGGCTGGGGCGAGGCCGGTAGTTACGAGGCACTGCAAGTTGGCAGTCCTTATTCACGAGCTATTCCCCTTGCTGCAGGCAGGGGTGTCTGATTTTTTGGCGTCTCTGCACCACACTGGAAGAAGAAGAGCTGTCTTGGGTCACAAATTAAATACATCGTGATTAAATACGTAATCACCAAAAAATCTCATCCTGGTTTAAGAAAATGTACAGTTTTGTGTTGGGCCGCATTCACAGCCACCTGGGCTGTGTGTGGCCGGACTGTGGGCTGGACCCCCCCCCCCCCCCCCCACTGTACAGCGCAGTGTGCGGTGAACTTAGCGGAGGTGTGGCTCCCCGGGAAATAGGAAGTGTGCGTATTTCCAATCCCTGTCTTTGGTCTGCACTGCATGACTCTGGCCTCTTGTTTTCCTCTGGAAAGTTTCTTCTCCTCTGACTTGCAGAGCGCAGCCCTCTCGGGGTCTCCTGCCCCCCGTGTACCAACCCCCACACGCCCATGAGCACTCAGGACAAGCCAGGCCCTGTGTTAGACGCTCTGCCTGCATCACCCCACTTACAGACTTCAGCTGCAGGCCTCACTGCCCGGTCCAGAGTCCTAGTCCCTGCATGGATGGTGGTCCTCGCCCGGCTGTCCCTGCGTCACAACTGCAGGTGGCACGCCAGGTGGCAGGCTCAGCAAATGGTGCCCCTGCCAGGTTCCTCTTCTAGACTCTCCGGACAGCTCGGGGGTGATGTCCCCAGCCTGCTCAGAGACAGCCACACACTGTGCTGCTCCAGCGCTGGACTGTCCCCTGATGTCAGGCTGTGGGCCCCCCTAGACAACTTTGTTTTGAGGGCACCGGGTGTGCCCAGTGCCCAGGAAAGGGTCAGAAATGCTCTAGAATAAAACAACCCTAGAGGGAGTTTGGTACGGGCATGTACCCTGTCCGTGACATGTCCTAGATCCTCGAAAGCTGCGTCGAAGGAACTTTGTATTTCAGTCTTGTAATCCTGTGACTTTGAATTTGATAATGATACTCAGGTCGAAGGTCAAGGAACCTGTGCAGTGTTCTGGCGAGCTGAGAGTGCTCTTGCATTGTCCAAATCCCATATGCATACCCCAAGGTCAGGGCCAAGCCTGGGCAGGGGAGCTCATGGCATTCAGCTGCGGCCTCCCCTCAGGTGTCTGCAGTGGCAGCTCCCCGACCTGGCTTCTGGGGAGCCCTCCCTCCTCTGCTCTGGGAAGGTGTGTGAGTCCTGGGGATGGGGGGGGCGCGGAGAGCTACCTGAAGGTCTCTGTCCTCGGCTCTTAGCTGTCAGGGAGTGTCGGGTGCTGGGGAAGGGGGCCCAGGAATCCTCCAGAACTAGAGACACCCCTGCCTGGGGGGGAGGAGACTTGGGCCTTGGTAGCCGGTGGCCAGTGTGTCTGACCCGGCCCCTCCCTCTATGAGCTTCTAGACAGACCCCTGGTCTCTAGAATGGTGGCCACAAATGCGTGTGGCTCTCCAGTGGCTGAAATGTAGCTGATGTGACTCAGCTCCTGGGCCTTTAATCTCATTAAATTTTAATTTCCCCTGACGCACGTGGCCCCCAGCCCCGCGGCGGATGGTGCGGATGTGGACCAACGCCATCATTCCTGCTTCTGTCGGCGGGTGCGTCCAAGACAGTCTCTGCCGAGGACCAGCCGGGGGCCCTCCAGGGAGGCCAGGGGCCTGTAAACCAGGACATTTCATAGCTGACGCAAAGCTATGGCCGACTGGGCAGATGAATGTTTACACACACCTACACGTGTCTCCACCCCCTCCCCGCCCCCCAGCAGCCGCTGTAGAGGATCTCAATCTCTTCCCTCCCTGGGCCGGAACTAACTCACAGGTCTTTCTTTTCCTGAGTTTCTGCCATTCCCCGCTTTGCCTTTAAGACGACGTTGGCTGGCTGACCGCAGTGAAGGGAGAAGGGCGCATCTCTGGGTGCGGCCAGGACCGCGTGGGAGGGGTGCCTGGGCCTGTGCAGCCCTCGTGGTGTCTGGGAGAAGGTCACACCGGTCGCCAAGTAAGGAGGCCAGGCGTGGCTTTTATTTTCAGTGTTTTACTTAAATAAGGTTTCTGTTGATGTGTTTGAATTTTCCAGAAAACAAATACAAATACTGTACAATGTGGGTCATTTACATTCTTCTTGGAAAGGCCACGACCTTTCCCTTGGTCCCCCTCCCCCGTGAGAAACACAGAAGCGAATCCACCGAGCAGCCGGGGAGACCGCCGCTGGCTGTGGGCCCAGCCCAGTGGATGCTGTGTGGCCCCCCGGGGGCTGTGCCCCAAGCCTGTGCCGGGCTGGGGAGCCTCTCCTTCACTGTCCTCATTGTCCTTCATTAGCTGAGCCCCCCACGATGGGCCAAGCTGGCTCCCACCGAGGCCCCCCCGTTCCCGGCAGCAGACCTGGGACAGAGGCTGGGAAGGAAAGGGGTGAAAGTGGAGATGGGGGGAGGGGGGCGGAGGGGGAAGGGACGGGTGGCTGCCCCGGGATCCTGTCACGCACCAGTGTCTTTACTCAGCAGGACCGTGAGGCCCCTCCTGCCCTGGGTGCTGTTCTAGGGGCTCCAGGGAGGGGTGCGGGGGAGGCCACTCGGGGTTGGGGTGCCGGGTCCTGGGCTGTGGAAGTGGCCAAGACGTGTCTCGGGTTTCACGGCCAGAGCTGAGGTGGGTCCATTTGGGACCGTGGGTGCCGCCCCTGCAGGCGGAGGCCTTGTCACTGCAGTGACAGTGACCGCTCTTAATTCAGATGAGCAGCCCGTTGCCATGGCAACCTGTTCCTGGTGCTCTGCTCCCCTGGGTCACATCTGACACCAGTCTCAGCCTCCAGTCCCCACATCTCCCCAAGTCGCTCATCTTGGGGGGCCTGAGAGGCAGAGATAGGAAAGGCACCCTGTCTGTGGTCAGCGGCAGGTGTGGGGAGACTCCTGGTCGTCTTGTGCTGTTGAGGGGATGGTCAGATGCTCCGGGACAAGCTTTCCATGTGACCATGGGGCAGAGCTTTCTCTGGTCAGACAGGTTTAGGAGCGAGGGGTCCGGTGCCCAGGACACTTGGAGCCACTTAGGGTGACAGGGTGAGCTCCGCTGGTCCCACAGTGTACACAGGCCTGACTCTGCCCCCCGGGGTCCCTCAGCCATCCCCACCCGGGGCCCAGCCCACACAGCCCAGGCGAGTGAACAGGGTGCCTTCCCCTCTGCACTGCCTTCTAGGGTTGGATTTTGCTCCTGTAAGTACCATAGTTAAGCTGCATCTTTGATTCAGTTCCCTCACCATTAGTGCAGCTTCCATGGGGAAGCTTTTTGGGAGAGCCACCCAGCTGGTCTGCCCGTGAACTTGGACAGCACAGCCCGCTCCGGAGTTGGGAACTGCCCATCCCTGGGATGACCAGCTCGCCCTCCGAGTGGATTGACTTGGCCCTTGGCCTTCTGCCCACAGGGAGACACTCCCCCACCCCACTGAGGACCTGGTTTGCACATCCTCACGGGTTTCAGGGCGCACGTGTCCCCCACCCCTCGGCTCTACCCACGCTCCCTGCAGAGTTCAGCACCCAGCCTCCACCCGATGCAGCCACGCGTGGGCTCACTCAGGAGGTCGCTTGGGGGCACAGGCAAGGCATCGCACGCTTACCCTTCACATCGTCACATAACCCGCAGCATCGCAGGCAGTGAGGAGTCCCCGCTGTGTGCCAGGTGTTTGCCCGGATAAATATTGTTAAGCCTCTGTATAGCTTCAACCTGCTGTCACATAAACTGCGTCCTCTGCGTCTGCCTGCAATGCACAGCACCCCAGGGACAGCCCTAGGAAGTCGTTTCCACTGAGGCTGCACCAGCAATCGTCTGAACCCCTGCTCGCCACACATCCGGGGTTCCGTGGGAGCCACCAGGTGTAGGGTTCCAGGTGTAGGACTGGCTTCCCGGCCCAGGTACCCCAGGCAGCCCAGCGAAGGGAACGGAGTAGCTTGGCTTCAAGTTCCCCTGGCTTTCTGGGAGTCCCCACCCAGAGACTGTGTGTTTTTGCGTGGAGGACGGCACCCTACCCAGCGGTTCTGGGGGCAGCGTCTCAAAGAGAAGAGGGGGCTTGGGCTGCTGGGACACCTACCAGTGGCAGCGTGGACCCTGTTGGGGTTGAGACAACAGCTTTCCATGAATTCTGAGCTCTCCCACCTTAACCTTTCCTCCCAGGGACGGGCAGGAGCAGGGGGCCTTGGTGGGCGGGTCTGTCTCAATACACCGGGAAGGGGGACTGCACCGGGCTGCCGAAATGTCCAAAGAGGAGGATTTCCAGCCAGAGGTGTTGCAGGGATAGCAGGAGGGAAGCACACATCTCTACCCTGAGTGGAATGTGGAACGGACAGGGGCGGGCAGCCTCGCCTGGTTCTGGGACCGAGCACGCGTGTCCGAATCTGGCCAGGCCCTCCTCCCACGAGCTGTTTCTGTGAGAGCAGACAGCACACGGTGAGTGTGGTGTGCACGGTGTGTGTGTGTGCGTGCATCAGGAGACGTGTCAACAGGCACGGGTGCATGTTCATTGTGCTTTTGCACAGGGACGGTGCCGGAAGTCGGCGGGAGGCACAGGGGGGTCTGCAGCCATGAGCATTGCTATGGGGCACAGCGCTGCCAAGACAGCGCCCCAGAACTGTCTGTGTGCCCCCCCCCCCGGGGTCCCCTTCCCGGAGCGCACCCTCCATTCGAGGTTTGTTCCTTGTTCAAGCAGTTCCTCTGTGAATGTGTGGCCCATCAGGGGTCGCTGCTCCCCGCCTGAGCCCCCACCCGCGGACACACCTCTGCTTCCCTAGACGGGTAGCGACAGCCTCTTGTCCATCTGCAGGAGCTTGGGCTGTGCGGAGATCCAGAGGTCTTCTTCCCCCTTCTTCTTCTTCCTCTTCTTCCTCCCCGCCTTGTTTTCCTCCGGCTGCTGGCCCCGCTTGCCCACCCGGTTCCAGCAGCAGTGGCAGCAGACAAACAGCAGGGTGAGGGCCACCAGCAGCGGTAGCGCCAGGATGACGCTCAGGCAGACGGTGTTGAAGACGCCCTCCTGGTGTTTGCTCATGAGCAGGTCCCAGATGTCACTGAAGAAGTTCTTCACTTTCTCCATGGCGCTCAGCCCACTGCCAAGTCCTGGGCTTGGGGACACGGCCTCGCTGGCTTGGAGCTCACACCTCCTCCGGCCGTGGGCGCGGGCAGCACCTGGGGGGAGCAAAATACATGGTTCACTGAAGCGCAGTGGGACGTGCTACCGTTTTCAGTAGCACCGAGGGTTTTAGGCTCAGGAAAGAGGAGGGAGTCGAGGCTTCCCCGGAGGTCACTGAGGTCATGCTGAGACCCAGTGAACAAGATAGACGCGTGCATTCAGTCAACACACATTCCACTTGGCGATTCTTGCTCTGTAGACACACAGTCTGGGGCTCAGGATGTGGAAATTAAGAGGCTACTAGAGCTGGCCCGTAGAAGGGGCTCAGCAGTTGGATAAATGAATCAACGCATACAGCCAGTGTTGGGGGGGGGCAGGGGCTGGCTCCCCGGGCCCTCTGTAAGAGCAACCCTCCGCTGCAGCCCACCGGGTGGGTGTGGGACACCCCCCGCCCAAGGACAGCTTCATAGCTCACCTTCTACGGACACGCCTTGCCATTTCAGCACCTGCGGAAGCTTAGGTGCCAGAAGGAGGGTTGATGTCTGGTATCTGTTGGGGGAGGGGGGGCTTGGACTTCTCCAGGGTGTGAGGTCCTCGGTCCTCATCCAGCCTCGCTCCAGCCTTCCTCCCTGTCCCTCCACGTCCCTTCCCTGCTCCGTGCCCCCCACCCCTGTCCTGACAGGACTCACTGTGCTCGGCTGGGGGACCATCTGCTGTCTCTGTCTGTTTCTGTCTCGTCACCTATGTCTGCTTGCTGCCCCTCAGCCAAGCATTCCCAACTCTCCTCCCGGCCTTTTCAACGGAAAAGGCTCCATCATGGTGCTTGGAAACGGGGCTGGGCCCCAGGACCCCCCACTCCTGCCCTGAGCCCAGCTTACAGCTGCCTCAGCTCTGGTTGCCGGTCCAGAGCCGCTGGTCCACAGCAGCCCGTCTGCCTTTGGCATTTCCTCCAGCTCTCCACGCGCACCTTTGTTCTTGGTGCTCAAGTGTAAGCAGTTAGAGGCTCCTTCAGGTCTGCAGTCCGCAGGTTCTTGTGTCCAAACAAGACTCGGAGGCCAGGCATGATTCCAGAAAATTTCAGAGACCCGTTGGGGTAAGACATTGCTCAGGACCCAAAGGTTGAAAACCCTTGGTTTTCAGGCTGCAGATGAGAGCTCATCCTGACCGACTCTCACTGAAAGATAGAGACTCTGAGGCCCTGGGGGAGGGTGACATGTCTGGGGACACACAGCGGTGACAAACACCCCAAACCCTGGACAGGGCGTCCAGCACCCTGCCAAGGCTGCTGGCCAGTGGAGGAAGGGAGGATGCTAACGTTACTTCATAGCTGTATCTATTCCACTTGACGGTTTTCTAATGTCCATCTTGTGAATTACATCCTTTAAGTGAGCAGCACACAGTCAATGGAGGGAAGTACCAGGGGGGCTGGGTCCAGAATCATCGTGGGGTCCTGTTTCCCGCCCTGGAGCACGCACCTGTGGCCGCCCTGGGCTTGTCCTCGAGCCTCTTTCCTTAGACAGCAGGCCGGGGTGTAGGCGTCCCCGCACCCAGGGGTCGTGCGTCCTTCAGAGCCCACAGGACCTCAGTCCTGGGCTGCCGGCCGGTGGCCCTGCACCCTCACGGCACCATTTGTGCCGCTGCCTAAACTGCCTCCCGCTGCCGGCCATTTGGCCCACGGGAGGCAGTGAGACTCTAAGTTGGCACTTGTTGCTTTACAATTCCTGGTCATTTGGTCTTCGTGACAGCCTCACCGGGTGGCTATGGCTACTCCTCAGTCCTGCAGCCGAGGGGACAGAGGCACAGGCCCCTCAGCGAGTGGGTGGCAGGGCTGGTTGTGCCGGGAAGTTGGCTCCTGATGCCCCAGGGGTGGGCCATTCACAGCCGTGGCTCCGAGCGGCCTCTGGCTCTGTGCGGGTTAACATCTTCTGGGCAAGCAGCCCGGGGCGTAGAGAAGCTTTGGACAATTGGTTAACTTGGTGACTCCCAGGACTGACCTACATGTCCTCCCCGTCTGCTGTAGACAAAGATGGCAGAGAGATCGATTTCCCACTGTCTGGTACTTCACAAAGGCAGGGCCAAGAGCAAGAATCCAGCCTTGCCCAAGTGGAGGTTCCCGGGAAGCCTGTGGCTGCCCAAACTTAACGCAACAAGCAACAAAGAAAACCACTCTGAGCGCGCACAGCCCCCCGGGGGCCCGGCAACGGCTTGCGGTGGGGCTGCCCACACTCACCCTGCCCAGAACTCTGGAACCCACCGCGACCACTCACTGCCTCGTATGCCACACCGCTGGTCTCCACCTTGCACCACGACCTTTGCTTTGGCCTCAGCCCATGGCCCATCAGTATCCGGCCCATCCAGAGGGATTTTGCTGTTCTGTGGTGGGAGGACTCGGGTGCTTTTCTCTACTTCCATCCTACACGGAAGCTCTCCTGGGGCCGGAGGCTCTTCGCCCTGCATTGCCGCCATTCCCATTAGACAGTTGGACAGTGACAGCAAACTGGCTGACTCTTTCCAGGAAGGTGGCGCCCCTTGAGGAGGACCTTGAAAAGCAAGGAGCATCTTGACAGAGAAGCATGGGTCAAGAACTCCCCAAGGTTGCAGGCGGAGGAAGGTTCAGAGGCTGGGCGGAAGTGCAGGGGCCGCCCAGGGCCAGAGGGTGAGCTCATCTTGGGGCTTTGTCACCAGGGGATGAGAGAGGACGTGGTGACCACAGCTGCCCTCCGGGGAAAGAGAGCGGGAGCTGAAAAGTTCTAGAAAATTCTTTTAGGGAGTTGTGTACAAACAGACATGTGCTGAGCACCTAAGATACACTGCACTTTGTGTTAGGTGTTGAGGATTTGGAAACGAAGGAAAAAGGTATGGTCTCTGCTATCTCAGAACCTCGCACGTATGTCCCAGGGGAGTTAGTGGTGTGGAGGGATCATGATATAAAAGCCAAACGTCAGCAAATTCCAACCGAGGTCGCTTAGTGGCTGAAACAGAAGCATGGCCTTGAACTGTGTGTTTATCCCAATGTCCCAGGCTTTGTTTCAAACTCGTCCATCCCATGGCACTGGAAACAGCCTTTGAATAAATAGATTTCTCTTTAAGCTAAAGTGAAATCAATAATCCACTTCTGGAGCCCTAAAGGCACTTATTGGAGTCTGCTCTCTGTATGGGCAACGAGAGGATTCATTAACATTTGGGAATCCAGTCCGGGGTAAATTCGATGGAAAGGTATTCTTTATGTTTTTTAATCTAAAAACTCTCTTCTAGGCTCCCCGCAACCCAGGTTACTGCTGAGCTCTGCTGATCTATAGTGTTTCATGAGTATTTATGAGCCTTGCATTATTAGTATTTCCAGGAAACAATCAGGTATCTCCTTGGTGGTTTGAATGAAAGGTTAGAACTTCCAGGGACCGTCTGGCACGAGGAACCACACTCCGGCCTTAGAGGTGCATTCTGGGAAAGCCAGCTTTTGTCGGCTCCTAGTTGTCACACTGAAAGATAACTCACCAATTTTTTTAAAACCCATGCAGGTGCCAACCGACCCTGACTGTTTGATGGTGGTTGTGGGGCAAGAGAAGAGGGAGGAGTTACTTTCAGTTTACTTGAAACCAGAATTGTTCACCTCCGTATTCTCCACAGTGTCTAGGTGGGGAGAGAGTCATTCATTCACTCCTCTTCCAACAAACCTCGACCTGCCTGCGTGCGAAGCATTGTAGGAGCGTGAAGGTCATGGGCCACGAGACCTGGATTTGAGCCTGGGCCCAATCTCTGTGGCCTTGATGAGTGAGGGAACCTCAGTGACAAGAGGAAGCTAATGAGCTTCCCTTGTAATGCTGTAGAGGATTAAAAGAGCTCAGTGTACTCAGTGCACTTTGTAGACTGCAAAGGCAATGAGACACCCTCTGTAAAATTGTCATTTATCTCTTGGGAACAGCAGATTCACAGCCTCGGGCTTTTCTTCTCTATCCCTCACCCGCAAGCCTCGCTGCCAGAGAACCATGGGCCCCACCCCATTCTAGCAGAAAGGGGTTCACAGGGAAGTGAACCCCTTTGTCCTCTGTCCCGAGCGTCGGGAGCCCTGGCTGTGTCCAGGGAGGGCTGGATCCATCCTGGGGAACCAGGAGCTGCCCCAGAGCTGTGTCCAGGGCTGGACCTCAGACTGGTGGTCCTTCTGGGCCCTCCCCCCCAGCAGGGATAAGGCGCTGTAGTCTGTACCAGCCTCTCATTTCTGTGTGTCAGATGCGAGCTGTAGAGTAGTATCTGTTGGCCAGTAAACACTTTTTAGAAACATTCTGTTCACGATGGCACCTAGTGAAGATCCCTGAGGCCAGCTCCGCAGTGGCCAGTGTTCCAAATCTTTAGCCCTCTTGTGAGGGGTGGGGTGAGGTGGGGGGTTCACTTCGCTTCCCGAACCTTCAGAGATCCCTGTGCCACAGCTGCAGACTCCTGGGTGTGCGTGGCCAGCTCGGGCTGTGGTCACAGCTGTGCTTGCTGACCTCCTTCCCGAGCACCTTGGGGACAGCATGGTGGGTGCCTGGCCACTCTGGGAACCAAAGATGCAGATGGCTGGCTGCTCTCCTGGAGACCCTGATTCAGTGGACAAACATCCAGGAGCATCGTCAGGCTCCATCCTGCTGTATCAGCAGGCTGGCCGCCGGTCCTTTCCCATGAGCACGGGGGCCTTGCGGTCAGTGGAGGAAGGATCTTGGGGGAGGGCAGAGTCCAGAGTGGTGGGTCCTGGGGTCAAGCTCTGTGTCAGGGACACGGAGCAGCCTAGTGGGAGGGGCGAGCCCTGGGACCTGGAGCGGGTTTCGGGGGAAAGTGGTTCGAAGCGAACGACAATCAGGACAGGTGTCCGCCCCGCCATTCGGTCAGGGCCTACTTACAGGGCGCATGTCCCGTGCTGGGAGCTGGGTTGGGTGCTGGGTGTCTGAGGACTTGTGGCCTGATTTCTGCCTCCTCCTGCTCGTCAAAGAACTCAGCGCACCGTGTGAAAGTGTAGGCAGGGGAGGTGCCGGGAGAGGCCTGGGGGGAGTTGGGGAAGACTCCCGTGGGTGACTTTGCCAAGATCCGAACTACATAAGCGGTAGACACCGGTCGGGGTGTCTGGAAAAGCCCTGAGGCGTCGACCCAGCTCCCGTAGAGCCTTTGCAAGTAACAGGCTTGATAGCTTTCCCTCCAACCGCAGACGAAACCCACAGACGCCAGTGAAGAGCCTTGGAGGTTAGAGCCGGGAGTTCGGTTGTTGGTACACAGAGCAGTCCCTGCAGGTCTGAGAACACAGAGAAACGATGCGCTTGTTGTGCTTTTTTTCAGACAAACAACTGAGCCCCTTGCTCCTCTAGAAGAGAACCGGAAGGGACCGTGTGGCTGGAGGCAGCGGGGTGACCCAGGCCCACCAGGTAGGCGGCCCCTCAGCCACAGGGCCTCTGCGCTGTGTTGGTGGCTGCTGTTTGCTGTCGAGCCATAGGTTTTACACAAGCAGGGGACCTGATCTGTCTGGGTTTGTAAAGAACACCGTCACCAAGGCGAGAGACATGGGCTGTGGCAGGCAGCAGTGGAAGGAGGGGCCGACTGTAGTTCAGGTCCAGAGGCGGCTGGGACCAGGTGAGGGCGGTGCCAGAGGGCGGACGCGCGTGGCCTGGCCCGGGTGTTCTCCACCGGGTGTGGTGGAGAGGGACAGGAGGAAGTGTCCCCGGGATTGGCCTCGGCTCCCTGTCTTCTAGCCCCAGTGGCACTCTGGTCATCGAGTCTGGGGCATAGATTTTCTCTAAAATAGCAACCGCATCAAACAGTCTCTACCTGATGCCCCTCCCTGTCTTCAGGGACCATGCAGTTCTCACAAACCCCCCCAAGGTGGCGCTCACGTCGCACGCGGCCGCAGCCTGGGTGCCCTGGACCCTCAGTCCGTGGCCATCAACCTGCGGCTCTGGGGTGTGTTTCATTGACGGGTCTCACCTCGCTCACCTGGCCTGCTCAGGTGCCCTCTACTAGATTAAGCGCCGTTTTGCTCCAGCATCATCCCACCACAGTGAATAATCTGCGGGCAGGTGATCAGGTTCGCAGCTGGGACCCGCCCCGGGCACCATGCGGTAAGTGTCTGTGTTCTTCCCGGGCCCGCTAATCGCCTCAGTGACTAGTCCACACACAGAGTGGGGGCCGCTTTGCCCCCTCAGAGTGTGCACACGTGTGCTGCGTCACTAGACACTGAGGGTTCGAGGGCAGTGGGTGATAGTTTCCTCTCCGTATCAGTGTTACCACTGTGGCTGCAATTTTGAACAGAAGCACACATTGATCCTCAGAATAGAGTTGATGGAAGCACCGTGATTATTAAAAACAAGCAAATGCTGCTTTATCACGTAGACTGTCTGAACTGGGAGAAGGCGGAGGTGAGTTGGGTGGTGGGTGGGGTCCCCATCACGCTGATGAGGAACGGGAGGTGACAGGAGGCTGGACGTGGGGTGGCAGTAGGTGGAGTCAGGGCCACAGTCGAGGTCTTCCGGCCCCTGGCCCCTCCTCCAGCGGGTCTGCCTACAAAAGTCCTTACGAATAAGCCTCGAGGCAGCATGGCCAGATGCCCGCCCCTCGGCCCCCAGGACACCCCTGCCCGCAGTGTGACTGAGTTCTGGTCTAGGGAGCTCGGGGACCTCGTGTTGTGTCGGGAGGACTCCCAGGCCCCTGGGTGGCCACGGTGGACGGTGTCCCTGACTGGCTGTGGAGCCCAGCAGGCCTGCTGACCGTGGTCAACAGTGGCAGGAGTGAGGAATGGACTTCTGTCGGGTGCAGCCTCTGAGACGGAAGGATTCTTTGCTGCAGCGATTAGCCTACGCCAACCAACACAAGTGACGAAAAGTTGGTGATGACTATAACAATGGCACGGTGACTCGGCACCTCCCCCAAAGTGTAGCTCAGACCCAAGAGGGGTTTCGCTAAGTGCTTCAGGGCGCTGCTGGGTTCCCTGGGACCCTGGTTCCTGGGTTCAAGTCCTGCTGGCTGTACGGCCTCAGGCAACCGCTGTGGGGCTCAGGTTTCTCATGTGTGAAAGGGACTGGGTCGCAGCAGGCCCCCGTGAGGTCCTTGAGCCACAGACGTGGCGCCTCCCAGAGCCAAGCTGGGCGGTAACCTACTAGGCTGGTTAGCTCATCAGGGTTTGTTGCCCTCTGGAGACCATGGGGTGGTCCCGGGGCCGCGGCTTTGATCATCGAGGTCTCCTCCCAGCCGAGGCGCTTTCTCTCTCCTCCCTGTAGTTTCCCTGTAGCAAGGAACCGCTTCCTCAGGGCCTCATCCGTTTGCAGAGTGGCCGGTGCAGAACGATGATGCACACACCACACAGAGCAGCACCGCGTGCACTGCCCCTTCCCGCTCGCTCCTCGGGTCCCCCATTTCAGGCCGAGTCGGACCCACGGCCCCTGGTGTCTCCCTGCCCCGCGTCTCACGAGCCCCCAGCCTGGGGGTACGGTCACGAGCAACACAGACGCGGTGCAGCCACCTGCTTTCCTCCTGCAGGGAGAAGGCAGATGATAGACTGCGCACAGACAAATACGCCTCGGTGCGTTGTCAGAGCTCCCCAGGCCACAGCTGGCATGGCCCTGGGGAGGGGACGTGGCACCGAGCGAGGTCTGAGGGGATCCAGCAGGCGCAGGGCCCAGAAGGGCCGCCCAGTGGCAGGCACAGCAGGAGGAGGCTCCGAGGTGGGAAGGAGTCGGGAAACTCGAGGTGGGGGGAGGGTGGGGGCAGTGCCCTGGTGCCGTGAGCTGTGGCTAACGACGTGGGCTTCCCACTTCGTGAGGGTGGTGTGCATGGTACAAGGTGAAGGACAGAGAGCAGGGCCTCGGAACCCAGCTGCCGCGGCCTTTGGGTGGGTCCGGGCCTCAGGGTGGCTCTGGTTCTCCTCCCTCCAGCTCCTCTTTCTGAAACCTCATCTCTGCAAGGACAGGGCTCTCGTGGTGGGCACCACCCCTTACGCGCTGCCATCCCAGCCTCGTCTCCCTCCATCCCCTTATCACCCCACTTCCCCTGAGTTCTCCCAGACATTCCTGCTTTCTTCCTCTGTGAGCTTTGCACACACTGTTCCATCTGCCTGAAGGTTCCAGTCACGGAGGCCCTCCGCCCCCACCCTCCCAGACAGAGTTCTTTCTCTTCCGAGCTCCGCAGAGTCAGTAACCTACCGTGGCCCTTATTTTCATGTATTATAATTGTTTTGTTTCCTCGGCCCCTCTCGGCCTCGCGCAAGCTCCTGACCCCCAAGGCCCCACCTGTCTGTGCGATGTGATAGCCTCGCTCTGTGCCTGTCACCCAGTGCTGCCACATAAACACAGTGACGGAGGGACAAGTCCTTTCCCGGCTGGGGCTAAGCAGGAGGCTGACTGTGTGCCCTGGTTCCCCGGTTATGGCTTGAGTGGTGCCCTGCCCCCCAATTTATATCGTCCAGGCCGTGGGAAGGCCTAACCCCCAGGACAGCAGAATGTGACCTTCTTCGGACACAGCGTTTTTGCAGGTGTTCTTAGTTAAGATGAGGTCGTACTGGAGTGAAGAGGGCCCGCAATTTAATGCGACTCGTGTCCTCATGAAAAGGGGAGATTTGGACATGGAGCTGGACATGTATGGAGGGAAGACTGGGGGAGGAGACATGAGAGACGATGGCCACTTAGAAGCAGGGAGAGGGGCCTGGGACGGATCCTTCCTTCGTGGCCTCTCGAGGGGACCGACCTACTGACACTTTGAGTCCGTGTTTCTAGTCTGCAGAACCGGGAGACAATACAGTTCTGGTGTTTTCTCCACCAGCATGTGATGCTTTGTTACGCTCCTGCTTCACCCTGTCAGCTGGTCCCACTGGCTCCCTCTCCAGAACCTACACCGAATCCGCTCACATGTCGACCTTCTGTGGCTAGGACACCCCCATCTCTCGCCTGATCACTGCGGTGGCTTCCCAGCGGCCTCTGGTGCTCCGGCTCCCTCTGCATGACTGTCTCCCACCGTGAGCCAGATGAGACCCCGCCCCCGAGCCCTGGACACGCCTCTTTACTTCGGGCCCGCCCACCCCCAGGACCGTGTCTGTCCCCTCGGTAGTTGTCTCTAAGCTCACGGGGTGCCTGACGGTTCATCACGTTCAGAGCTCAGTTCAAGTGCGCTTCTGCTGGAACTTGACCTCATCTGTTGCCCCTCCCAGAGGTCTTTCTTCACCCAGCCATCCGGCCAGCCATGCCAGACCCTCCGGACCCTCATTTTCAAGAGAAACTTCTTGTTCACACCCGTGGCGCTCTCGTCACTTTGGTTTATACCCTTCGTGACGGTGCTCCTGGGCTGCAAAATGAGCTCAGGGAGAACAGGGCCTGTGCTCAACTCACTCTGTTTGGCTGCCTGGAGCCTGCACGGATGAATGAAGTCACGCCAGTGAGCCTAGATATCCTCAAAGAACAGGGATCTTGAAAAAACAAAACAAAACGTTTCTCAGTCAACCCAGGTCACTGGGGAGGGAGAGCGGGAGTGACAAAGGGCCTAGAACAGTGACCGTCAGTCTCGTCTGTGGCCACACGTGGATAACAGTGACCCGCCGCCATTTAGTCCCCAGCCAGCTAATTCATTTCAGGAGGAAATAATGATAAAAAAAACCCCTCATCACTGAAAGCAGCAGGGAGTGGGGGTGCGGCCTTTACCAGCCCCTCAGTGATCGCCCACCTTCCTCCTGCTCAGCCACCGAGGGCTCGGGGTCGCTGGGACTTGCTGATAACCAGGGAGCCTTCCCTAATCACGATGCGCTGTTTCAGGTTCAGCAGAAGAGAAAATTAAAAAGCTCCATTCGTTTCAGTCCCGGTTCGAATGAGTCAGTCTTTCAATCAATCAGGGATTAATTAAGCTATGCTAGGGAATGCAGGGGAGGTCAAAGACACCCTCTGTACTCAAAGACGATGCCAGGAAAATTATTAGAGAGTAATTCAGAACAGCGGAAAGAGCCGACAAAGATTATTATTTTTTTTTACCTGGGCTTCCCCTGACTTTCCACTATGGAAGAATCTCTCGCCGCTGTATCTCTGTTCCTCTTTGCATCCTCTTTTCCCTTTTCATCCTAATTACGTTGTCTCCAAAGGGTCCACGCCGTGGACTTTGCCGATAGTTGTTCTTTCTCGGTCGCCCTTCGGATGAGACACTTGGTTCTGTCTGCCTCTTTGGAAATTCCAACCATGCTAAATATGAGTGAGTACAGTCAGTCTCTCCAGCCCGGTAGCCAGTCAACAACTTCCTCATATTTCCGCCTCTGAGATCATCAAGGAAATTTTCTGGTGTGTGTTCTCCTGAGTCAGAACGCTCGTAGTCAGGCATCTCGGCTCCTCCACTAACGTAGTGTGGAGAGTCTGGGCAGCATTCACTTAAGCTGCCCAGTTTTTTGTTTTCTCCCTTGCAAATCGATATGAGCGCACCTCTCACAGGGTCGGGTGTTTTATTCATTGTACCGTTTCGTGTTCACCTGAGTACCCAGCACGGTGCCTCGTAGAAAGTGGGTGGCAGGAAGGGTTTGTAGGTTGGATTGATGGGTGGATGGATGAGTGGATGGATGGATAATGAATGAATGGGTGGGTGAATGAATGGATGGATGGATAATGAGTGAATGGATGGGCAGATAAATGAATGAGTGAATGAATGCATTGCTGGGAAGAATAAAAAAGATACCATGTGTGGAAAGCGTGCAGCTTAAGTGCACCTCACACAGTGGGTGCCTTACAATAGCCTTGAAAACCCCGGAACACTATATTTATTATTATACCACTCACATTGTGTGGGAGGTGAAAAGATCCACTTAAGAAATTGTTTTGTCGTAACCAGAGTTGGGTCAGTTTTTCCCCACACTGGTTTAAAGAGTGAGCCAGCCGACTCCCAGGGAACCGGGGCAGACACGCTGGCTGGCCCTCTGCCCTCTTGCTGACCGTCCATTCATCCCCAGCCGCGCCTCTCTTTCAGCCCTCCGACCTCCAGGATCCGGTTTCTCAGGGGTGCCTTGTTCTGTCCGTCACTCTCAGCTTTCTCCTCTTCATTCCAGCGAGAATGTGCACTTGTTTTCCTCTGCCTGGCCTCTCTTGACACAGATACACCTCAGGAGGCCAGAGCCTCGGGACAGAGCATCGGCTTATCACCTTTCACAGGGACAGAGGAGGGTCTGTAGCATCAAAAAGCTGCCATTCGTTGTGTTCTAAGAGCGCAATGCAGTGTGCCTCACCAAGGTTTGGAAGATGCATCCCCGTTCCAGAGGGCGGGCCTTTGTGTTCCCATTATACAGATGGGCAAAGCGAGACTACTGGAGATTAAGTGATTTGCCCAAGGCCATGCACCTGCTAAACTACCGAAGAAGTTTGACTATAGTACCATCTGAGTCCTAGGACCCTCCTGTGACCGCCGTCTACATAGCCAGCCTCCTCAGGAGGCCAAGGACTTCGGTCTCCAGACCCCGTCTTCTGGGGCGAGGGGTGTTCAGCCGCTCCTTCCCCCATCAGCCAGTTTAAAGCCCGTGCCCGTGGACTCACTCCTGATTAATTACGATGCCTTCTGTGGCTTCACAGCTCGTGTTTTCTTAGGACCAAACATGTAGAAGAGAAGCACAGAGTAAAACCACATGCGACAGTGGGTGTTGGGGATAACACCCAACTCACAGGCCCCTTTATATCTTTATTTATCTGCTTCTTCAGATGCATGTGAAGTTCTCTGTCTTTAGCTAGTCCTCAACGCTGGCCACACTGTCCTCCCCCACAGAGAGGATCGGTGGACCTCTGTTCCCTCCACCCCCACCCCGTCCCCCCGCCTGCTCTCCCAGTCCTGTGCCCTACCTGGTCCCTGTGGCCCTGGACCGCACACTCCTGTGCAGTAGGGACCACGCCACCCGCCCTTGGTGCCGTGGCGTGTGGAGGGGAGGGCCACCTAGGGAACTGGAAATAGAGAAGTGAGGGCCCTGGGCACAACTTCCTTTCCAGCCTGGGCGCCTGACCCTGGTCTTTGGCTAATCAGCGAGGAGATAAGGAGGAGGGCGTTTGCAGGAGCCGTGAGCACATATCAAAACATCCCCAGGACGATGCTGGAGGGTGACCGTGCAAGGGCGGGTGAGCCAGCCGTCGGAGGACCCAGTCCCAGTCTCGTCTAGTTGTCCTCCCAGCGTCTGGCCTTGGGCCCATTAGTTCTACTGCCTGAGCCCTTCCCTCATCCGAGCTACGAAGCCATCAAGCAGCTGAGATATGTGCGAAGACTGTTGTGAAGAACACACAAAACACATGTGGAAAGGACACTGAGCAGGGAGAATTGCGATCTAAATGCAAGGCAGTGGCATGGCAGAGGATCAGGTGGGAAAAAAACTGAATTAAAGCTCAGATGGGAGCTTGGGGCAGCTCTTGACCACACTGCTTGGCCACTGACCTTCCCTCCCCTCCCCCGGCCCACTGTGAATCGGCGTCATCACAGGCCCCATCTCTAAGGGGGAGATTTGTGGGCGCACAGTGACAGCCGATCGCACCTCCGTTCGCCGTCTGCATGCATCTGATCCGACCACATCCTGGTGTTAGCGCTAATAAAACCCGTAGCCGTGGTTACAGTGCAATTCCTTGGCTGTACAGTTCTCATTTTCATTTTTCAAAGCTATTTGGTAAGGGCTTGGAGTGAGTGTGTATGGGCGTGGTAAGTGCCTAGGTAAAGTTTTATTTTTAGCGATGGTGAGCCCAAGCTCTGAGGTCACCTTGAGCAGGAGAGTGGGGAAGGGGGGGTGCAGGGCGGTGCCTTCCCCGAATAAGGGGAGGCTCAGTCACTGGTGGCTGAGTCTTCACACATCATCTCCTCTTGGAGGGAAAGAGTGTTTTTTGAAAAAGCAAGAAGACAACCAAGCCCTTGTGTGAGTCTGGTTCTCCCACACAGGTGGTAATTAAAAAACAGACCTTAAATTTGAAGTTGCAAAATTCGGTTTAATATCGCAGACGGGAACTCAGTGTTCCTCAGACTTAGTGGCAATCACCAAACGGCTGATTTCTTTTCCTCAGCAGTGGTCAAGGGGAGAGGTGGGTTGGTGGGAATACTCGAAAACTAACCAAGTGGCAAAAATACACAATTATGCAACTCAATGGCGATACAGATACGGCTTTATTTTCCTTCCCACGTCCTCCCTTCATTGAATGTTAACAGAAGTTCAGGACAATTACAAGCCCAGAGCTACCTGGCTGTAATCGTAGGGACTAAAACGTAAAGGCCAAACCATAGAGGCGAGGGAGGAGAAATACCCTCGTTCCAGGAAGCCGAGGGTGCAGGGGTGGGGGCGGTGGTGAGGGGTGTTCATGTCCTGTCTGCTCCAGTCCAGATCCGCATCCCTCAGGTCGAATGCAGATTATCCCCTACCTCACCCCCTCAATTTTGATTAAGTCACTGCGGGTGCACCCAGAGGACCTATGTGAGTGTCCCAAAGTGGTCCCTGAGCACCCCCTCAGGCCTGTGACCCCCTCTTTCTCTGAAACAGGTGGCATTTTCTCAGTCTCCTAAGATGCCGCGTTCGATGCCTCTGTGCTAATACATTGTTACTGCCAGGCTGCTGTCACACAGACACTCTGGAATGGCCGCTGGCCTTGTCCTGTCCCTGGTCCCCTCCGTTTGCCTTCCCTGGCCCCCAAATGCCTTCCTCTCCCCCAAATGCCTTCCTGGCCCCCCCAAATGCCTTCCTGACCCCCAAATGCCTTCCTCTCCCCTCCCAAAGGGGGCTTTGGGGGCATCGCGGTATCTGCAGATAAGTGATGTGCGAGGAAGGGTGGGAGGACCTGCTTGAACGGTGAACTGTGGGGGGTGGAGGGGTAACCCTGCGGATGCCAACATGCACGTGCACACACCCCCTCTCCTCGGCCTCAACCCCGCACCCCTCCACATCCACCATCTCTGTGCCGTCCTTGCCTGGAGACCTGAGAGCTGTGGCGGACTCTCTGGAAACCGCCTGGGCCACTGGGAGTGGGGAGGATGAGGCGGGAAACTTAGACCTTTCTCCCTCTCCCTGCAGGGCGGCCTCACGGTGCGGTGGCCTCACGGCGTGGCGGCCTGCAGGCTTTATCTCCCGTGGGCAGCCCAGAATACGTTTTTTAAAAATCAGACCAACACTCAAAAGTATCAGGAGCTTGAGGAAATAGGACATCGGGTGGGACTGTTTTGATAGAGCAAATGTTCTGAACGTGTGGCCCTGCCTCTGCCTGTCAGGAGGGGGCCCTGGGGCCTGCGGTTGGCTTGGGGCAGCCAGAGGAGGGGACAGGTGTCCTCCTGGGGCTCCCTCCTCCGGGGAGAGCCCTCGGGTCCCCCTTCTGGCTTTGACTTTTCTCCGGTTGTATCTGTTCAGGCTCCTGCAGGTTGTCATGGGGCCGACTTCTTGGCTAACAGTTGCCCAAGGGCCGGGGGAGTGGGGAAGTTCATGGGCCCTGGCCTGAGGAGCTGCCTCAGAGTCTCACCGGTGACTTAGCGTTTGTGTCCTTGGGAAGGGCATTCGGTGACTGTGGGCCTCTGTTCCGCCATCTCCAAAATGGGGACAACATCTGACAAACACACAAGAAAGCGATGGCGTGGGTGGCCTGGATGGAAGGACAGTGGGGATGAGGCCGGAGGGAGACGGTTGTCGCCTCGGCCCTTTGGTCCTGAGCGTCCTCCCCAGGCTCACACTTTCTAAGTCAGCCGACACGCCGGGTCAAAGCAGACGGCACCCCGGCACGTGCTGCTGGGCCGTTAGGAACTGTTCAGAGACTTCGAGTCCCAGCTGGAATTCTTCCAGGCAGAATCAACGGGGGCCTGGCAAAAAGGTGACCCCCCCCCAATCTGCAGGCAGTCTAAGGGGCATGAAGCTCTTGGGAAATTTGCTTCCGTCCGTGGAGGGCTTCCTGCTGCCCATCCAGAGTGGACAGATGGATGGACGGACATGCCCGCCCCCCCACCCGGAGGCAGTCACCTGGCTGTACCGCAGTGCTGGGCAGCCTGGGTCCTCCCTGCGCCAGGTGACCCGGCCTTCTCAGGGCTGGCTGGGCAGGGGCCGTGTCCGCCCTGCAGAGCCAGCTCTGAGAAGCACATTCGATCCTCCTCTGCCTGGTGGCGGTGGCCCGGGTGCTGAATTTGGGGCTGACCTCTGGATGACCTGGTAGGGAGGAGTTTGTGCAAAGTAAGTTCGAAGCTCCCTCTGCACATATAAAAATGATGCTGCACGCATATTGTTCTTGTATATGAAGAGGCTGATAGTACAGATGACAATTATTTGCATCCATAAAAGTGCCACTTGAATTATGTTTCCTGAAGTTGCACATGTATTTTTATATTGAGAAGTGCTAGTTAAGTTTATACTATGTGTGTCGAGTTTATACCAACACAGGGAGGAGGGAGAACACAGAGATGCAGGAACAGGGTCCTATCTGAGCAGTTTCTTCATGAAACTTTGGACTCTCCTGCCAGCGGATGGGTCAGACCCTGAACCCTCAAACCCCAGGTTCCTCACGTCTAAAACGGGAAACTAGTGAGCCTGCTGACTTCCTCGCCATCCAGTGTTGTGGTAAAAGTCAGTTAATAATATCATGGGAGTTCTTTGTGAATGGAAAGTGCCCTTCTGAACTTAATTCTAAAAACAATCACAGCCATTAAAGGCTAAAGCGAATATCAGAAAATCCTAAGTGCACACACAATGGGAAAGGAGAGGGACCGATACTGGCTGGGATTTGAAGGGGGGCGGGCACTCAGAGGAGATGCAGGCTGTGCTGTGCCCTGGGCTGCATGTCACCACGTGGAGGACTGGCCATTCGGAGGGAAAGGGGGTCTGGGGGCACTGGAGAGGAAGGCGCAGCAAGAGCAGAGGCTCAGAGGTCGGTGCACGCGGAGTGTGGCGCTGGGGTGACAGTGCAGAAATGCTCTGAGGAAGAGCTCGGGACGAGGTGCTCCAGGCCCGGCTGGGGACGTTATAGACAGCACGAAGGCCGGACAGAGGTGTCATGGGTCCCGGGGAGGTCCCAAAAGCTGGTGAGCAGGGGACATAGCAGTGTCGGTGTTTCAGATGCCACATTCTCTTCCTGAGCTCACCTGTCAATCAAAGTGAGCCTGGGCCAGAGCAGGGAATGGTGCAGGGTTCGGCTCCCCTCCTGGGCTCAGAAATCACAAATATTACAATGCAAAAAAAAAATCTTTGCCCTGGCTGGTGTGGTTCAGTGGATTGAGCACTGACTGGCCTGAGAAACAAAGAGTCAGTGGTTTGATTCCCCATCAGGGCACATGCCTGGGTGGTGGGCCAGGTCCCCAGTAGGGGGCGCGTGAGAGGCAACCATACACTGATATTTCTCTCTTCTTTCTCCCTGCCTTCCCCTCTCTGTAAAAATAAAAATTTAAAAATCTTAAAAAAAAAAACCTTTTATTAATAGCTTACTTTCTGCTTTAGACAAAAATCTGATTATGAACCGAAATGAAATATCACCAAACCAATCAGAGAGAAACGGCTATTTGTCTCCCACCCCCCTGGCGGGGGAGAGGGGGCTAAAAGCTGTGCTGTAATCACTCCCCCAGTCTTGCGCTGACACCGGCCCGGCTGGCCCTGTTTGTCTGTGGTTGGGGAGGGTCCATCAAGGACCCTGCACTGATGACTCGTCTTCATTTCTTAAAGGCTCTTGCAGACATTTCTTCATTCAGTCCCTGGTCATGTGAGCAGGGGAAGGCTTCCTCGGCCTAGTTCACAGATGAATAGACTAAAGAGCAGAAGCGTG